TCGTGATGATCGAGCTTCTGGTGGTGTTGGTGCGCGACCAGAAATTAAATTTCAATGTCAATGCTGCTCTAAATATATAATAGAAAAGTTGGTGCGCATGTGTTCTGTAGCGCTGCTCCACTGTATTCTTCCAATTGTGAAATATATTTTCCATTCCAATACATTATGTAGTGGGGCAGGGAGAAAGAGCTTCGTTCTCGCGCGCGTCGTATAAGTTGGATTTTTCTTCTTGCTTTGGGTAAATAAATTACGAAATGTGCGGCCAACACTGGCCATCTCCCTCTCTCTCTCTCTCTCGCCTGCGTGTGCCTCGCTGACATTTCTCCGGTCTTTATATATGGTGGAAAAAACTCCACCTTATCACTTGCACAAGATAAATTTTGAATAGTGTGTTGGACAGAATTCAGTCAATTTATCGATTGTGCTCATGCTGTGCTCTCTTTCCATCTCTTTCAGATTGTCCCAGTGCAGCAACTCTGAAGACATCGATTTGAGAATGCATTCGTCGCGCGCGCTTCCAATCCATTCTCTCATGCCAAGTCCCATGGAACTTGCTCAACTTGAACTTGAAAATCCTCGGGTGAGTCAAGATCACAGTGTGCGTGTGTGTGTGTGTGTGCCAAGTCAATCGATAGAGAACTCTCTGTTTCCTCTCACGAACACCACGGCGGGAGCGAATGTGAGAAGAGTAAGAAAAAAAACAGTGAAATCATGTGTTGAGTGAGGAGAACCACATTCTACCATGCAGTAATTTTGCCAACTCAGTCGATGGCGAAGCACGATTTTTCTCACATTTCCCCGAAACATCCTCCCGAAAGTCCGCAGGAACGAGTCTTGGCAACGACTTTTCGTCCTTTCTGACCCCCATAAATACTCTGTGACGGTGAAATTGCATGAAATGTGTGTGAAAATGGCATAAATCGATTCGAGAAGCAATTGCAATGTCCGCTTCATGTACATGACTTTCGCGGTGTGAAAACCCCTCACGAGTGTGTCTCTGCTAAGCGCACGAGAGCTTTCACCGGAGACACATTCGGGCAGATTTTCCAACTATTGAACCCTCTCACACACGGTGCGGCGGCCCCCCAATTAGCACACATCCCCAATCATGCGCCCCCTCGTTGCCGGGATACCCTCTGTGATCACTCTGTACTTGAGTAGTGAACACAGCTGGTGGTATCTCAGTGACTGGGCGTGGGCGAGAGACAGCTCTAATGAATCTATAATTGGGTGGGTGCGAAAGCTCCCAGAGCCACCCCCTGAGGGATCACAAGGATATATATATTTGGCCATATTCACATGAAATATTCACACGCATTTTGCCCACGAGAACGCAACTCTGGGGTAATCCCAACTGAGAGAAGGGTTCCACGACGCTGAAGAAGTGGATTTATTTGGGTGATGATTGCCATCGAGGTGGCATTTGTCACGCATGGCAAGAAATTCAATTTATATTTATCCTATCACTAGAGATACAGTATCGATTGCTCAATCAATGATGAACTTGAAGCTTACGCGACGCTTCCAAGAGGCAATTAGAAGAAAAATCAGTCATGTAGCATTGAAAAAAGTGAACAGAACACTTGCTAAAGCTTCTGTCAGTTGCCCAGACAATTGGCTAAGACGTTTGCTTTCGAGTGAAATGTTTAAGCATAATTGAAAATTGCCGTGTCAATTTCTGTTTGGTTTTGCGAATGACTTCCGCAATGTTTGTCTTCTTCGCCGAAGGGGATTCCCGATTTGAAAAGCTCTTGTCATGACACTCAGCGTCAGCCAGAAAGAAAGAAAGAGATTTTGGGAAGGTGAATGAGCAACGCTGTCCTGCCTATTAATTGATGCACTTCTTACGCAACTGTTTCGGGGCTCTTGGCTCAGCATCAGCCCTGTCAGCAAACACACACACACACACACATTAATGTCCACCTTGTGCTGCTATTTATCACATGAATGTGCAATTATTAATTATAATATGAGCTTTAATGATATATTATCGCTCCTAGAGATAAACGCCCATTTTATATGTTATACCTTCTGTGAGCCAGAGATGAATCTCTCGGAAGCATTGCGAAAAGCTAGACTCCCTCTCGCTCGTTGGAGTTGTTAGAGAAAAAAAAATTATCTTGGCTGAATAATTAATGAAGAATTCTAAATGGCCTTTTTTTCCTATTACACCACAATACCGTACGTCACGAAATAATTAGTTTAAGCACCATTGTCATTCAATAAATTATAGCAATTTTACACGCTGTGATGTCGAAATACACTTGTGAGGATTTTTTCAACCTCCTTCTGTCGCTTTGTCAGTGACTATTTGTGATGGTGGAAGAGGGTAAAACTAGTGTTTAAGAACAGAACAGTGTGCGCGAGTCAATTAAATTGAGAAATTTATCTAAATATATGTATATAAAAAATACTAAATGAAATGCAGTTTATTTATAAACTAACAAAACCTGCAATAGGAAGCATGAGAGGTTTTGTGTAGAAAAATCTCAACTCTTGAAATTGAATTTGCATAGAAACAAAGCGGAATGATCAAGTCTGGATTGTTATGTAAAAAAAAGTCGATGAAAAAAAATCACCGAGAGAAATAAATAATATAAAAACTTGCGATTCAGTTGTGACTTGTGAATCCCACGTTACAGCTGACTCATTTTCAATCTCCATCAAAGTGAGTGAAGTGATTTTGCTCCGTGTAATATACTTCTTCTTACACCCAAAAAAGAGGAGCTCCTTCACGCGCCAAGGAGAGCTCTTTCTCTCTCCATGTCGTAGGTAAATTTGGAATTGGATCAAATTCAATGCTGTGCGACAATTGCAGAGGTAAAAATGTGAGTGTGAAATTATAATTTGGGTGCAATAAAATTGGCCACCGATGTATTCAATTTGAATTATAGCGATCTTAATGATAAAATCTCCCGACAGTGTCTATTTTCGTCAGATACTCGCGCATTTTTGGGGGCCTCGTGGGCCCCTGCAGCCATGCTCCCCGCCGAAAGTTAATCTCTTGCAAATATTTGGGTTGACATCTGCGCTGCACACAGTCGCGCACGCTGTGCCCCAAAATGCACGTGAAGTGCAGAATAGCCGAATCTCTGGTGGCACAAATTTTGCATGGGCCAATTGCCCAAAATGCACTCGCGTCCCTCCTTCCGTTGGAGCTCTTCCTCAATCACTCACGAGGTCATCACGCGAATTGATTCTCTCGTTTCGGCGGCTATATCGACACGGGGTCACTTTCAACAGCTGCACGCGCGGACTTACCCAAACAGATACAAAGAATGGTAAATCTGAATAGCAGAGAGAGAGAGACCTATAAATAAGTGAGTCAAGCGAGAAATTTGATTAAAAGGGTTCTTTAGCTGATTTTACCCAAAGTTCTACATTTTCCCAAATCTAATTATGCAAATAGATCATTTACGTAATCCTAAATTGCATCCTTCGCTCTCACACACAAAGAGGGAAAAAATAATCAATGCATGGGTGTAAAATCGGCGCACTGAAGGGGTTTCCCTGGTCTATTCCAGTGCAGTGGAAAGATTAGAAGAGCCAACAGCGATAAGGTCTCAGCAAGGTCATTTTCTGTGTCATTTTCTTCTTGTCAATCAATTTTTTCACACCCACCAATGGAGGCGCCTGGTTATTTGTGGAGTGTCTCATCGAATTGCCCTGCAGAATTTGAGTGTTGGTGTTATTGGGCAATTATAAAGCCACATAATCACTCTCTAAACACTTCCGGTTGAAGGAATTTCGATAGTTTTGCTGCCAAAATGCATAAAAATGACTGTGAATGTGTTGGATCGCAATGGAGACGCCTGGTATCTCGTACACACTATCAATTAACACATCAACTGAAGGCTCTTCACGCAGTCTCTCTCTCGCTCTCACGATGATATTTTCCAGGCACTGTGTGTGCCTCTGGCGACTGTGAAAATGGTGTGGAAGATCTGAGCCAATCGCAAAATTGGACGAGAGGAAAACAATCGAACTGTGGAGACGCCTGGTCGTGAGATCGAGTACGAGGAACTTGGGCGCATTTTAATCGCTCAATGGTCGCGCAACAATGGTCATTGCGAGAGTGAAACGTTCTAAATTGTGCCAATTAAGCTGCCAACACGTTCAGAATCCATAAATGTATCTATCTAATTATACGCTTCTGCCACATCAGTATATTGAGTGATCTCTGTTCCCAGCGCTGCCAGATGGTGCACACTTGGTGTGGCACAATTTGTCCTGCAACTGGACCCCTGCTGATCCCCAATTAGGCTCCGGCTCACCTGAATTCGCGACAATTCACCTGGGATGCATGTGTTGCGCGGGGCTTCCATGGCTGTGCGACGGTGTGTGTTGGCTGATGGCACAAAATCTACATAAATAGCGTGTGTAACATGCTAGAAATCACCTTGTACACCATTTGAGCAATGTCATAGCCACAAGCTCACATAATAGTTGTTGACTTGTGCAGCAGCAGCAATGTTGTGTGTGGGAATCTCCTCTGTGCCGCCCTGTTTTGTGGCCGTTGCGTAACAGACACACATTACTAATTCATCACATTTTAAATACACTGCAATATTTGCTCAATGTGGCGATGAAAATGGGAGAGGAAAAGAGACACAGCGAGAGATCTAGCACGGATATTGTCTAAATTCAGGTGTGGAAGTCTTTTTATCTCATGCCCCGTTTTTTTTGCACGACAAAGGACGCACTAAATAGGCACACACGGCGCTTTTTGAGGACAGGAAACACCCTGCTTCTTTTGTGTCTGTGTGGAACAGAGAAAATTTCAAGAGAACGAGAGAGAGAGAGACTCTGAATAAAATTATAGAATTTCATCATGATTCTCATCTGGGGAAGAAAGACAAACATGTCAAGCATATGAGGCAGTTATGCTGCCAAGAGGATTTGAAAATTGCCTGTAAATTTATTTCACAATTAATTTCCATGAATCGAAGTGTCGTGAGAGAAAATATTTCTTTCTGAGAGGTTAAAATTCAATATGATGCATAGAATACACTTCAGGAAAGTTGTTTTTCCTGCCATGACAATAGAAAGACGTTTGTCAAGTCACGTTTTCGTGCAATAATATTTTCTCATCTCATCTTCAGTGAAATTTTTCCTACAATGTGTGTGAAAATGAGAAAATTCTTGGGACGACAGCATAGATTCCTGGTGGAGTTTTCACTCGTGAGAGAGCATTAAAATGAATAGCGGTGAATTATATTAAAAACATCTCAAAATAGATAACATTTTGGGTGAATGTGTGAAATTGGATTGGGGCTCTTATACAATCATCAAACACTCGAAAACTCTTTCACGTTTCGCGCATGATAAGCCACGAGCACACATCAAGCAGAAGAAATATATCGATGATGGTAGATTAAATATTACAAATGAAATATGTAATAAAAAAAATTATACTGCTCTCAAACTGAGCAAAATACCCATCAATGGTGAGATGGAGTGAAAAAAAAACTAGTAAAATCTTACACGAACACTGGAAATTGATCATGTGTATCTCCAATTGTATTTCAATGCTTTTTGCAGTAGCCAACAAACACGATCATTTCACATGAGATTCCTTTTTTAACTCAAATTGAGATGAGCGAGAGGGAGAAAAATGAAAACATCACGTCTTGCTATCTAATCAGAAAATCAAACTTTATTGGTAACCAAGAGAGAGAGAATTTGTGTGTTGGATTTGTGTGTGTTTTATGTACTTTTCAATACACAGCGAGAAATTCCGCAATTTCCACGAAGCAATTTAGCCAACACTCAATTGTAGAGTCTCGTGAAAAACTTCTAGCTTCTACGCGGCTTCACGGTTGTATTTTGTGTGGACTTGAGTGGAAAAAAAAAACGTCCAATTGATGTGAAGGTGTGATAGTGAAGTTGGGGGAAACGCGTCTTTCCCTCGTGGCCTCCGAGCAAGTGATAAAAGTGCGCTAAGAGTGTCACACATTTTGAAGAATTCCTGTCAATATTTCGATAGCTAATCACGAGCAATTGAAGGCGTCGAAGCAGGTAATAAAAGTGTTTTCCAAACTTTCTCAGCGCCACTCGTGAGGGAATCACAGCTAATGGAACCAAATTGGAAAACTATTGGTCAATCTTTGAGCCGTCAAATCATGCAAACTATGCGATGCTTCGGATGACATAGGAGAGAAGATTTTGCAAAAATATTGTCTATTCTGAGTCAGAAAGCCCACCGTAATCCACTCGGAGTAAATAAAATGTCATGTTTGCTTAATATTCTAATTTCTAAGACATTAAGCCCTGCTCTAAGCCCATCTGGTGTGTGCCCAGAGATGAATCACAGCTCCTATAAGTGATTCTCGATGCTCACACCTTTTCCTCTGGCCGAATGTATCTCACTTTTCCGAAGCTCCCTCTTGCGTATCGTCGGTCCCGCTCGCACACTATCTCCGCCTCACTCGCACATCGGCAATGCACAATCCGATCGCGTTGGAGATTAATTTCAAATAGAATCGTGCGAGCTGCTGGCGGTTCTCCTCTCGCCAGTCGTGTATTCGCTCACACACCGATCAGTCCTGAGCGCCGGGCGGATTGTGCGTGAGCTTTCGCGAGCTTTCACTCCCACCGCGTGTCACTGTGTGCGCACACTTGTGCGAAAGTATTAATAAAATAGCGCGCCTCTTCAATCGCCGAGAGACTGCGCCATGATTTCATTGAAATTGCCGATGGGAAGAGACACCGCACTTTTTCGATGCAATTCGCGGTGGCCACTTCAGTGCTGGCTTAATCATCGAGCACACTGGGCCAGTGATGGTGCTGACCACGGTGATCGTTAGTCGTTGCAAGTGTGTAGAGAGTTAGTATCAGAACGCGAATTTGGAGCTCGTGGACTGAGCCCGAAAATTGTACTTTGAGAAAAGCAACCACCATTTATTGGATTAACATGTGAGAGGCGACTTTTTGCTGCGCGCGATTAGCAATTTCCCACACAGTCACGACTCTTGTGAGTGATTGGGAGGTGGAAACTCATCACTTTTCATCCGCCAAATCACCAGACAAATTGGGACTGTCGTGGTCGTCATTCCGAATGTGGCAACATTGGACAATTGTGCGGCGCGAGAGAGGAAAAGAGGCCCAAAAGAAAAGTGGTTGAAATTGCCATGTGATTTGATATGTTGCTCAAAATGGTGAAAAAAGGCATTTACATGCCACAGAATTTGGGTTATGAAACTCAAGAGCATATCGTTGTAGTGACAGTTAGCTCATAATTGGTGATAATTAGCTATATAGCGACTCTAATTGAATTTACTGACTCGTCGCTGCGTCGAGTGTTTTGAGTGTGTCATCGTGGAGCTTTTGCGTGCTGGAAATTTTGAGAGAGCGCGAAACTCAGAGAGAATCTTTTTCCGCTTCTCTGAAAAGCTGTAGGAGAATATAAAACGGCCCTCCCAAGACTGCGTTCGCGATCACATGTTGCACGCGAAAAGAGACTTTTTGAGAAAACAGCCCGAGGAGAGAGAAAAAAGATTGTATGATTTTTCCGACCATTGAAAAAATGTACATTATTAGGCACACGACGCCCAAGGTCTAGCCTATTAAGCTGTGTACACAATACAGTATGAGAGATACATTATTTTTCCCCCTGTTTCATTCACACATTTTACACACATTACAATGCTGCCTTTTTTTTCCTTCGGCGCGATCTCTCGAGTGCATAAGAGAGGGAAAGGAGATGAAAAAGCAGAGGAAAAATCATGTTATGCAATTGGCATCAAAGTTTGAATACAATTGCAAATTGCATTTGAACTTATGCACTTGTTTATGGTGTTTTTCCACCTTCACGGCTTTTTTCTCTCTCACACTTTTTCCTTGATTTTTCACCCTCGACGCCCTACATTGCGCTGACCCACTTCTCGTGGTAGTCACAATTGGTGGAATTTCCCGGCTAAAATCCTCGCAGGCAGATCGATTTGAGGCATTAAATGAGGAAAGAGACAACCGTGGGTTATAAATCTCTCGATTTTAATTAGGCGGCTGACCTGAATATAGCTTACGTTTTACTGCAATAGAATTGAGCGCTGAGAAGTGGCTTAAAATTTACTCATTTCAGAGGTTTTGCCATGATTTATTAAATTAAAAACCGCAAAATTTAATCAAGTCGATAGAAAATCAGAAAATCAGTGGAAAAATAACAAGGTTTATGGCTTTTAATTTTCTTTTCGGGCGGAAAAAAGCTATCAAGCCTGAAATCTCAGTTAACTGTGATCTATTAGTGCTTTCTTATTCTGATTTGTATGACAAAAGAAATCCTGAAGCTTAATGTAGGCAAATCACTCATTGTCCGTATTCATGAGCTTCTGCTGTGGGATTTTTTTTTCAAAAATTTCTTTGCGACACTCCTCAGTGAAATTGGCAAAATCCATATGACAAATGCCCGGTCATAATTCTGCGCCTCTGCTCAGATTGCAGCGTGATTGCAAGTGAGCATTAGTGTGAAAATTCCATTGGAGTTTCTCGACGCGATCGCCCGCGCGAAAAACGTTCCGAATGCCGATTCACTTAATGATAGAGACACATCTCAGCATTTTGTTAGAAAAATAGATGGAATAGCTCTCTCTCCCACCCTCAAATTCCGCTGCACAACTCAAAAGAATCTCTATGATACACTCTTGATTGACTCAACGGGAGCTTTCAGCTGTGCTTTCAGCAGCTGAGAATTGCACGATTGCGCGCAAGAATTCATTTTTGTCTATTTTCGTAAGCTTGACCAGAAATACACCATCTCTGGAGGTGGGAATGGTCTCAAAATCAAAAGAAAAGAAAAAAAACCTCCAATCTCTCGCTGGCGTGCCAGAGTTGCAAGAAAAACATCAATTGAGAGAGAAAGAGGGAGAGAGAGAAAGAGATGTTGGCAACGTCCAATGTTATAAAAAGATGTTAAATGTCCGAATCAAGTGAAATTTTTCCACTCTACTTGGTCAGATGTGGTGTGAGGTGAAAACTAAATAGCGCAGCTAATAAATAATAAACAAACAAATTACATATTCAATTGAACACACCAAATAAATGTGTCAAAATTACAGATTTGTCTCACCGCGAAGATTCAAAGCTCACGACATGATGCCAAAAAGCACTCTTTTCTCTCTTTGTTTCTCTTTCGGGATGCTTTTTGAAATGTCACACGGGCAAAAAGTGCATTGTGACGGTCAATTTTAATGAAAATTCCACTCAATTCTGTGTCATTCACATGTACAAAAACACACATTTGCAGTTTGTGTCGTGCATTGAGGAATAATTTTGGCCTTTATTCCTGGGATTTCTCACATGAAAAGTCTCTCCGTCACAGCCCTGGTCAATTTTCCGAGCGGGCCAACAAATGGTGGGAAAATTGCATAATAGCCTTCCCGAGAATGCACTCACGATCAGTGACAAGTCTCACGAGAGAGATCCCATTTTGACCTGGGCTGTGAGTGATGATATTGGCGTGGCCAAAATGCACATTTAGGCGTCCTCATCACGCCCGGTGACCAAAAATAAACCGCACAGCAGTTTCAGACCCAATAACCTCATCATTGGCCAACCACATTCTCTCACCCAGTTCATTTGATTCAATCAAATTACGATCACTTCACCTCTGGCACGGGTTTCTCCCTTTGCGATTGCCCTCAATTGTGCTGTGTTGGCATCAATATCTCATGCATATCTATTGAGAAGACACACGCTAAGATCGCACCTAAATTGAATTTGATCGCGGTGTGATCAAGTTCTACGCGACAAAATACCTTCTTATATTCTTTGCCAAACTCTTGCCAAACTTTGATCGTGAAATCGCAATCACCTGCATTCCAACGTCCAAAGTCAACCCTTTGTTCTTTTCAATATAACCCTGAATTCGAATCTCCCTCCCCGAAAAAAGAAGAGAGAAATAGCTTTGGGATGTGGCGCAATTGAATTGACACCCATTTGTTTGTGATCAAGGTGATCCTTCCGCCTTCTCACAAGGAGAATTGACGTGCAGACTAGAATATTTATTAGTGGCACACGGCAATTGGCATCGATTGCAAATTCTGTGATTCTCGCACGCAGAAAAATTGTGCAACATGCGCAGGCGTTCGCTGCCTCATATGTTAATCCAATATCATCGAAGGTGGTGATCATTAATGCAGCTCATTATGCGCTGTGCGGCGGGATAAAACAGAGTGATGATAAAGAGTAAAATATGAGTGTGCGGTCGAGGCCCTGAAGTGGAGATATTATCAGTTTTGGAGTGCGTGTCAGGTGTGCATTTACATCAAAAATTTGTGATCTCTGTAAATGCACTATCTGGTACGACATTCCAGAATAAACAGTCGCCTTGGAATAAGCCACGAGATCACCGGCGCATCGCCCACGCAACGCATCACTGAGGATATTTGTCACACTTTAATTTCTGTATATCAAAATACTTGTCGTGCAAATAAATGATCTTTCGCATATGTCTTTTCCCTGAAAATGCGTCTTTTTATTACTGTCCTCTCATCACCACTGAGTTCGAGTCGCAAATGCTATGTACATACATCCATCATGAATCATGATCAAGTGAGGAGGAAATAGATGCGATCACAGAATGTCATTCCATTGAATCGAGAGAGAGTGATCTCGGCGCAATTTGGCAGAGATGCTCCTAAAAATAGAAGAGACTTAACGGCGTGACGACGCGAGGTGATCGTCCAACGACAAGCATTCACAAAACGGCCAGAGAGATCTCCAATGGATGTAAAGTAAAAAGCGGCGAGATGGGGAAAAAAAACTTATGTAAAACTAGACAAGCAATAAAAATGATGTTATTTTCAAACTGCAAAAGAGATCGCGCGAGAAATGCCTCACCTTGTGCGTGAAGCAAGTCTTACTCATGCGTGTCGGCTTTTTATCTGCGGCCCTCAGTGAAACAGAGAGCTCTCTACCCCCCTCACGCCCCTCACGACAGAGATGCAAGACTGAAAATTCACATTAAACCATCATGAGCAATTTGTTACGCATATTTTTCTAGTCGCTGCCCTTCTTCGGCCGCTCATTACCGGCGATGGAGCATATGCTGCGCGCAGCAGAGGCCCGAAGCACAGGTAGGTTAGGGCGCGAAAAGCGGCCCAAAAGCCACACTTTCCAACCTGAAAAACATATATATTCTCTTGGCTGTGCGCTTTGGCAGTGTGGTTAGCTGGTTGTGTCATTACTACCACAGCCACTATCTCCACTGCCGCGGCGAAAAGCTCCTCTCAGCGTGACAAAAGTCCCCCGTTTGTCATCTCTAGTATTTAATTTCCTTTCATGAATGTCAATTATAATAGATTATTTACATACTTCTTCCTCCCCATCAAGTTGAGAAAGAGATGAGACAAAATAAATAACCTCTCTTCTTCTCCTCCACACATTGTACAAAATAATAAATCGATAGCCAAATTCTGCATCTTTACATTCATTACAGAATAATCCCCTTTTACATGCCTTTTTCTTCCTCCTCTTAAAAAAAACCATTCTGAGAGATACTTATCACTGCTTTGTGGATTTCTTCAATGACAAAAAAAAATTGGAGAAGGAACTTATGAGTGCACATTCTTTCCTCGCTGTCTCGCACTAAACTCTGTGCGCGCCTCATTGGTATGACTTGCTGCAATTGTGTCTTATTTCTGTCTCTAATTGTGATGCAATTAGCAATTAAATTGCCATTGTCTTTGCTCAACCAGTCTGCAGAATTGCTAAAAAGTCTTCTCGCAAACACTCCTGAGCAATCATTCAGAACTGCAACAGAGATTGGCTCTATATTGCAAGCATTCAGAGTGTATAGAGAGAGACAGTGAGGAAAAACCACTTGGACTACGAATCTTGGGCAAGAAGTTACTCGCGCGCAATCACTGCTGATTTTGGTAAGTTACAACTATGATTTTAATCCTACAGTAAATTTTACCCGTTTTTTCCGTAAATTTACAACTATCCTAAAAGACAGAATAATGGTGAATTGATGAATTGCTTTAGACTTTTTTTTTAGAATGCTAAAACCTGATTAAATTGTTTTAATCAACACTGATGAATGAATTCTTCCCAATTTCTTTTTCCACAGTGACTGAACCCTATAAACTCCTCGCGTCCAAGATCTGTGTGAAGTGCAAGCAAAAGCGTACATCTTCATGAAAGTGAAATATGAATGTTATTAAAAGCATAAATAAATACCAAGTAGAAAAAATCAATATGCAAATAAATTAAATTCTCGCCCTCAAATTGCCTTACTAACGATTTTTTCCTAAACTTTTTACTTAATATTTGGTTTCACATTAAATTTCATTCCCCATTTGTCAATTTTTTTAATCTTTCACAACTTCCTTTGCCAAAATATGTTGGCATTTTCTATCCCCCGTCCTTGAATGCCTTCTCAAAACGCTGAAATAACATTGATTTTTTTTCTCCAAAAGGAAAAAATTCTATTCACTGTATTACACGTATTTGTATTTTTTTTTTCTCTTTCACTAGGAATTATTCTTTAACACTTGACTCAATTTGTTTTGTCCACTTTAATCCGATTAGAGTAATTAATTTTAGGATATACATTTGTGTTTATACTTTTCGATTTATCGATTAAGGGATGAAACATTTATCCAATTAGTACAATTTTTTTCTCCTCCTCATGTCGCCTTTTGCTCAATAAATAAATCAAATTTTTGTGTTATCGATTTGGTGGGCCTTTTCTCAGGTGAGTTACCAATGTGAAACTCTCTAGCGTTCAGCAATTTCAAATGCAATCTCGCCTGCGGAGATTGTACCCTAATTGATAATTGCGTATTTTCACCTAATTTTTCATTAATTTGCAATGTAATCTTTAATCCAATTTTTCTCTTTCTCTCCACAATTGCGCGTACACGACGCAAAACCAAACAAAACGGCAATTTTCGCTACATTTTTCTCTCTCTCTCTCTCTCTTTCTTGTTTTACTGGATTTCTTGGAATTTTCCACACTCATGATATTTTTTTTTTGTTTTTGTTCAAAGTATTGAGACGAGAAAAGATCTACTATTTCTCCGATACTCTCTTTTTCTTAACGTTATACACTTTTACATTGTAAATGATTTATATCATCAATTATTTTACCTATCGTTTTCTCAAATTTATCTACCTTCTTATTTGTTTCATCTTCACCACCAAACTTCATTACATTATCATTATATAGCGCTAAATAAAAAGTTGACATTCAGTACATTATTGTATATAGTTAATAAAAAGATCACAAATGCAGGAGTAAATAAAATTTTTTTTGCAGTACTCTTCCTTTAGTTTCTACATATCTATTTTCATCTTCACACTCTTTCGTTTTTCATTTATATATAAGCTTCGTCCCTTCAATAAAAAGGAGAATTGTATCGACTAATTGTTGGACACATGCAATCTCATCTATTTTTCTCACCATTTTCTCCCTCTTCCACACTTTCTCAGCCACTCAAAAGTCTCCTTGACTCGAATTCACACACACACATTGAACAATATACCATTCATTATCTCCATTTTTCATCGCATTCCAAGAAAATTCACTTTTTTTTTTTAATATTCACAGATGCTACTTCACTATAGTTTTTCTCTCTCTTTTCATAATTCACTCACTAAATTCTCGCGCGATATTCTTCTCAGATTTATCCTTTTCGGACTTCCTTAACTCTTGAAATAACATAATGATAAAAAAAAGTGTTTTGCAAAAGACTTACAGTACAATAAATAAATTACACATCATCACACCCTCTTTTCTCATACATTTTGCTTTATATGAAAGTCCAGAAGAAATGCTCTTTTTCTCCTTCCTCTAATGATGCTATAATTTACGAGAAAAATCTCTCCTCAGAGTGTCTTTCTCACACCCAAAAAGAATAAAGTGCTCAAAATTTCACAAATCCACATTGAAATGTTTGCCAAAGTCTTTTGGACACATGCAAAAGAATTGCAATGATGAATTCATGTATGAACCAAACCACGAATATCTGATCCGCCAGACGCTTGCAATCCGTCCGACATTTCTGACTCCTCCAGCATTTGATCGTCAACATCGAGGAAATCCCCGAGGAAATTGGAATCTCCGGTCATTTCCAGTGTCTTCACCTGTTCATCCACAGCTTCGAGCACGCGATCGAAGACTTCTTGATCGGGATGTTGAACTGCAAGAACAATTTACACAATTATTTGTCTATTAACACACTTGCAACGGATTTAATCTTTTACTGCTGCAAAACTCTTCACTAAATTTACAAATCCCTCCAAAGTGCCTGAAGAGCTTCTGGAAATATCTTCTGAAGACATAAATCTCTCTAAACGCTAAGGTCACCCTGCCCATCAAGTGTGAGTCATCGACCACCTCTCTCCATCAATCATTCCATCAAAGCATCTCCTCTTAAGCAAGTGTCTTGGCCCATCGACCACAGCCCAAAGATGCCTATAAAGTGTTGGGAAGAAAGACAGAGAGAAAATTGAAGTCACCCACCTGAAAATAATTCATTGAAGGCGTCCTCCGGAAATTGATTGAGCACATTGTTCAATTCGCTCTCCTCCAGCAATCTCGTGTCGCCCAGCGCAATTTCCTCTGAATGGCGAAGGGAGAGAAAGGAGAGAGAAAAACACACATATGAGAAAAAAACACGACATTCTCAATGACGCCGCTGTCTGTAAGACATCTCATCAGCCACGTCGTGTGGGAGGAGATTCGAGAAGCATTGAGCTAGAGAGAGAATCTCATATGTACACACCTATGACATCGTTGGCCCCAATCAATTCCGACTCCGACAGTCCACCAACTCCCGTGTCCTCGGAGCTCTCGTACGCCGAACTGTTCTCGCAAATGTTCAGCAATTCCTGAGTTGTAATCTGTGTGTTTGCAATTTGACTCATCTGCGCATTAGGATTTGCAATGATGAACTGCTTAGTTGGCTGCTGCTGCTGTTGCTGTTGCAGCATCTGTGGTAATTGCGCGATAGTCGCTTGTCCTTGCAACTGAACAGCAGCCTGATGATGATGATGATGATTGTACGCCGACACCTCGACAGACGCATGATTCTTCACCACAACCGACGATGATCGCTTTTTCTTCTTGTTCCGCTTCAGTGGTCGCGTCATTGCACACGGTCTTGGCTTCTTTCGTGCCATCTTCTTCGGCTTCTGCACCTCCAGCATGCGCTTGTAGTTGTCCTGTTAACACAGAAAAGCTCACGTCAATCCTTCATACGTCACGCCACTTATCAGCGACACTTTACCCTCTTCCATGCGTGTTCTCTGCACAGCGGCAACTCGTGGCAGATGTCAAACACGGGAACACGACACTGAGAGTTGTCGGCAAACTTGGCCGTGCACGGAAAGAAGAGCTTCTGCTCCGTATTCTGCGTGATGTGCAGATAGCAATACGCCGTGAGAGCCAAGGAATCATTATCGCAGCCAGAAAGACAGCACTTCTTCCGCTCCTCCCTGAAATCAAACACACACACACAAAAATGTACATTATTTTCCCAAACACAGAAATGCATCGAAAATTTTATTGACCGAGAAGTCATTATCAAAATATTTTCTCAGCTCATTAAATCGGCATATTTGCAAAACCGCCTCACCATTGAAAGCTTCTGCAAAATGCGCCATTATGCACAAATTGTGCATCAGAGTGAAACTCGTGCGAAAACAATCACAGCGAAAATGCTTTCAGGCAAGCACTTTGGCCAGAAAAATATATTTGGTGAAATTTTTAAAGAAAACAATTAACCCATTTTAACAAAGACTCAAGCTACACCACAAGTTACTCAGAACTTGAGACTTTGCACTTCTTGAGCAATAATTTCCTCTCTCTCTCTCTCCCTCGCTATTGCATTTCATTGTGTTATTCAATATCGTATGTACACATTATGTATTTATTGAATAGGAAGTTTTCCCATGAGTTTCATTTACAAACTACAAATTAAGAAAAATATGGCTGATATGTTTAATAAATTACTTGAAATCATGGAAAACAATTTGAAACCTCATAATAATAAGGGAAGTCAGACTAGCCTTCTTGTAGCTTAATTACAAACTATCTGCAAATCTAGTTCATATTGTTATTAATTATTAAGATCTGCAAGATCATTTGATTACTTTTCAGATGAAAAAGTTTCTCTACTGAATTAAATATTTTCTATATTTCGTGAGTTTAGCAGATTTTTAAATGTTCTCTGACTGTCAAACACAGATAAAGGTGAAAGGTTAATACCAATTTCCTAATTTTAACCCCAAATTCAATCCAAATGTCCCAATTTGCATAAGGAATTCATCAAGCATTCACACATGGAATGATATTTAACATTGACAACTCTCTTTTGCTCTAAAATAAGCACCACAATTATTACAATAATCATTTTATATTGCTGCAAATTATCACAAATTGACATTAAATAATTATCAGTAAATTTCGCGGAATTTTGCTTCATTGCGCTTTTTCTTACCACAGAGAGAAACATTTTCATATGCTTTATTCATGAAACGTGGCATAATTCAGTATGTTTCGTGGAATCCCAATTGCTCCCCAGGAAATTGTCCCTATTATGAGCAGGAGAAGAGGGGACAACCCCTCGCTTGACTCTAATTGTGCAACAGTGTGTGTGTTTACTCACTGGGTCTCGGTCTGATTGCCGCGGGACTTTTCCAGCGCCTGTGACACGCACACGAGCCTCTTCTTCGCCACCACGAGACTCCTCTGCTCCAGCGCTCTGGCATACTGGATGGCCTTGCGCCTCAGGTGTCCCGCCTTCTGCTCCAGCTGCTGCTCGCGCGTCATCAGCGCCATCGAGGGCGGCATGAACTCCACGAACCAGTGCTTCTGGGCGCACATTGTCAACTCCTGATCAATCCTCCGCGGCGTCGGACACACTCCCGCCGCGTCATAGTCAAAGATGAATGAGTCCGGCGCATGCCAGACCGTCTCGGCAGTCTCCAGGGGCTTCGCATCGACAACCGGTATCCTCTGCAGCGCCTCATGGTGGGCCGATTGGCTGAAGCTGCGCTTCACGCGTGCCGACGCGCTCGGCTGCTTCACGGTGGCTTTCTTCGTGGCGGGAAAGTGTGTGGCCTTTGGCTCCCTGAATGTCGATGCAGTGCTCTCGTGCTGTGGCGACGTCTTCTTGCGAATGGAACTCAGCACCTCCTGCTGGAAGAGCGACTGGAACGTGCGTCCCGGCTGCAGAACACCCTTTGCGCCGCCACTGGAATGATTAATCGGCTGCAGCGGACGCGTCTTCACCACAACCGTCGGCGACACACTCTTCGATGTCATCTTCTTGCCCTGATTGACAACCGCGACGCCCGCCTTCGCGTACGCCACCGGCAGCTTCTGGACGTGGCTGTTCGCGGAGCCATGATTGACGCCATTCATGTAGCTCACATTTGTTCCATTTGCGCGAATCTGCTGGTGCTTGATTGAAGCCAATTTGCTGAATTTGCCCGTCAGCTGGAAAAGAGCGAGACGATGGGAAAAGAAGCACATTTTAGAAAATTTCACACCAAACTCCAGGGAGAATAACAAACACCTTCGCGGGGATCACACAAATTACTCATCAATTTCACCTCAATTTTCCCCATTAACATCACAAGTCTAGCTAGATCGCAAACAGTTCAAAATATTTGATATCATTTCATCAATTTCTACCCTAAATATTATTAAAAACTGCAAATAATCGTGACGCAAATTATCGTTTGCATAAAATTGCGATGACTCACGATGTATCATTAATGATTCTTGCCTATTGTAAAACTCGATTTCAGTGAATCACGTAGATTACACTTTGTCACCTATTATATCACAATTTCACGAAGACCCTCGAGCAAAAATTCACTCCTCAGTAAATTGTGGTGTAAAAGAATTAAACAGTATCGGAAAATATTGAGCTTTTTCACACCTAAAGCTTTCCACTGGTAAATAAATGTCAATATATTCAGAATTAATTATATCGACTGCATTTTTATTGGACTTGATTTGCAATTCTGATTGTGCTTTTGTGTTCTTTCACAGAGAAATTAGCATACTTTTATCCGTCATCTACCAAAAATAAAGGATCAAAGTGAAACAAACAAATATTTACACTTTTGCACAGTTTTGGCTCTGCAAATTCCATTGGCCACTGCATGATAGAAAAAGCAGTAAAATAAATAATAGCATTTTCTCTCGTTACCACTTTTATCGACATTTCAACCCCAAGTTAAAAGCATTGAAACCTTTTTATTGTGCCCTCAAGGCTAGGAATCGAAGATGCCTGATGAACTTGCTGATGAATTTTTTAAGGTTTTTTTTTAAATTTAGAATTTCAATCACTTTTTCATGCCAATAAATTTATCAGCAGAATTTATCATCAAAACTTCAATCAAGGTTCGAGAGAAGGTGAAGAAAAACAATTCTTCACAATCACTTTAAAAGTGTGTTTATTTACTAAACAAATTACGTCACTGCTCAAAAATCTTGTTTATCAATAATTCAATGGAAAAATTGTTCTTCATCGAAGGAAATTCACCTCAAAGACTGTCAATTTACTGGGTTTTCTCAAGACTACTGCTGGATTTTTTAGAACAAGTCCAATTGTAAGCATTAAATTGCGCAATTACGCTTTTTGCAAAGTAGACAATTTTATGGAATTATTATTCAATTTGCTGAATACCTCAAAGCATAAAATCACGTGTCAACTAAATGACTTAAGTTGATCAACAACATTCAAGAGAATGGAATGTTGAGCCTTCAGGATGAGAAATCCCTTTCTCTCCTGTGAAACACAATCAATTTCTTCTGAGAATTCTGGGCACGTGACCGAAACCTGACCCGCTTTCTTTGCCGCCGAGCTACCTGGCCTGAACACTCACCGGAGTGGTGAAGATCGCCGTGGCCGGCGGTTCCGTGAAGGTGTACGGATCATCGGGAAGCTCTGCCGCTTGCTGACATGACATGACCACTCCGGCCTTTTCTGCTTCTCTGCCGGATGAGAGTTGCTGCTGAGCTGTTCACGCTGAGAAATCTGCAGAAGAGAGGAAAAGTCAGTCACCGCCACACAGCGCGCCCCCGCAGAATCCCACATTCTATAACTCCATTTGCGCTCTGTGGCCGCGGTGAAAGGGAACTCGAGCGCACTCGATTGTTTCGAGTTTTTCCACAGGCCCATTGTTATTTCCTCATTTCATTCTCCGGCCACAGAGCGCAACGTATGAGGGCTGCCTGGGGAAATCAATAACTCGCAATTACCTCTTTGCCTCCCGAGGAATCGCAGCTAGCAATTCATTCTCGGCGGACGCCTTCTGTTCGGGGCGGAGCCGTGTGCTCAATTTTCCGGCTTTCCGGAGGCGCCCTGGCCGTGGCGGATGCGCTGCAAATGCCCAGCTGCACCTTCTGTTCACCGTCCTCGCGGCTCCGGCTGGTCAATCCGCGTCCCCTGCGCGGAAACTGCCCTGGAAAATTGGTGTGTTTTCGTGCGGAAAGCGCTGAGACGAGCTGTCAGAAGGCTGGATGAGAATACTTTTGACAGCTGCCAATTAATCTTTGTGCCCCATCCGCCACGCAAAAAGCCCAAATTTATGCCTTTGTCATTGACAGAGGTCGAATATTCGCTGTGGCAATCGAAGGGTGATGGTCTGGGCGATGTTGATTGATAATCAGCTACGCATATTCCAGCGGAGGAAAAGTGCTGCCTGAGATTTTCACGAAAACGACAGTAGGAAAAAACGGGGTAGCACTACCACAGTTACACAATCACCGCTACGAGACGCCAACACGATTTTCCCCACAATCACCCACTTTTCCGGCCAACACATGCACTAAAGCAACACCCCGGACACCAAGGAACGCCCCACTGATGGAATAAATGCCCAATTTGTGGGATTTTTGCGGGAATTTTGCTCTTTTTCCGCACACACTATTCTAGACAAAAATACGCAGCGAAATGGCAGCGCGGTCTGACAGTTGCTTTTTCCGGAAAATCCCGGCTGAAAAACCCCCAACTCAGTACGAATAAGTGATCCGCGCGAGAGGGGAAATGATGTAATTGAGGAAACGCATGGCACAAATTAAATCGAGGGCATATCTTCAGTTTACCGAACACTCTCGGATCACCCCCATCTTTTTTTTGTTTGAAAGGTGTTGATGTCACAAACATTTTCCCGTTATAAAATCGAGTCGGACTCTAACGGTTCTCCCGCTAAAAATCGGTAAAGTTTGTAACCGAATACAAAAAAATTGTATTTTTAGCGGGGCCGAAGGCCCCGCCTCCCGCCCAATACCCAATACTACTTACCCCAACCCCCACCACCCCTTCCAAAACCAACCCCTCCCCCCCACCCCTTCCGTATATATTAACTAATTTTCAAAAATCAATTCAGAGTGTCTTGCGGGGCCGAAGGCCCCGCCCCCATCCCCCACCCATACCCCCACTGCATACCTTACCTCAACCCCCACCACCCCTCCCAAAACCAACCCCTCCCCCCCACCCCTTCCGTATATATTAACAAATTTTCAAAAATCAAATTCAGAGTGTCTTGCGGGCCGAAGGCCCCGCCCCCCACCCTCCCCACCCTCCCCACCACCTACCCTACCCACCCCCCACCCTCTCACCACCCACCCCCGTCCTCCCCACCACCCACCCTACCCACCCCCCACCCACCCCACCACCCGTTATGCTAACTGAGTGTCTTGCGGGGCCGAAGGCCCCGCTTCCATCTCCCACCCCCACCCTATCCACCCCCTACCCCTCCCACCTCAACCATCCATTGTGCTGATAGAGGGTCTTGCGGGGCCGAAGGCCCCGCAAGACGCTAAAACGGGGAAGAATTCGCGAGTTTTTTCCCTTTGCCACTGTTTTCAAGCTTATTTTGGTGAAAAGTGGATGGGAAGACGCTAAAACGGGAAAAATTCGCGAGTTTTTTCCCTTTGCCACTGTTTTCAAGCTTATTTTGGTGAAAAGTGGATGGGAAGACGCTAAAACGGGAAAAATTCGCGAGTTTTTCCCTTTGCCACTGTTTTCAAGCTTATTTTGGTGAAAAGTGGATGGGAAGACGCTAAACGGAAAAATTCGCGAGTTTTTTCCCTTTGCCACTTTTTCAGCTTTTTTGGTGAAAGTGGATGGGAAGACGCTAAAACGGGGAAAATTCGGAGTTTTTTCCCTTTGCCACTGTTTTCAAGCTTATTTTGGTGAAAAGTGATGGGAGACGCTAAACGGGAAAAATTCGCGAGTTTTTTCCCTTTGCCACTGTTTTCAAGCTTATTTTGGTGAAAAGTGGATGGGAAGACGCTAAAACGGGAAAAATTCGCGAGTTTTTTCCCTTTGCCACTGTTTTCAAGCTTATTTTGGTGAAAAGTGGATGGGAAGACGCTAAAACGGGAAAAATTCGCGAGTTTTTTCCCTTTGCCACTGTTTTCAAGCTTATTTTGGTGAAAAGTGGATGGGAAGACGCTAAAACGGGAAAAATTCGCGAGTTTTTTCCCTTTGCCACTGTTTTCAAGCTTATTTTGGTGAAAAGTGGATGGGAAGACGCTAAAACGGGAAAAATTCGCGAGTTTTTTCCCTTTGCCACTGTTTTCAAGCTTATTTTGGTGAAAAGTGGATGGGAAGACGCTAAAACGGGAAAAATTCGCGAGTTTTTTCCCTTTGCCACTGTTTTCAAGCTTATTTTGGTGAAAAGTGGATGGGAAGACGCTAAAACGGGGAAAAATTCGCGAGTTTTTTCCCTTTGCCACTGTTTTCAAGCTTATTTGCTTGAAAATAAGCTTGACAAAGTGTTTTGCGGGGCCTTCGGCCCCGCAAAACACTCTGTCAGCATAACGGGTGGTGGGGAGGGTGGAAGGGGCTGGCTAGGGTGGGTGGTGGGGAGGGTGGGGGGCCGAGGCCTTCGACCCCGCAAGACACTCTGAATTTGATTTTTGAAAATTTGTTAATATATACGGAAGGGGTGGGGGGGAGGGGTTGGTTTTGGGAGGGGTGGTGGGGGTTGGGGTAAGGTATGTAGTGGGGGTATGGGGCGGGAGGCGGGGCCTTCGGCTCCGCTAAAAATACAATTTTTTTGTATTCGGTTACAAACTTTACCGATTTTTAGCGGGAGAACCGTTAGAGTCCGACTCGATTTTATAACGGTAAAATGTTCGTGACGTCATCAGCTTTCAAGCAAAAAAAAAAAAAGTGCGTTTTGAGAGTGTTCGGTAAACTGAAGTTGTGCCGAAGGAATTGGAATATGAAAACCCAGAAGAATCGAGTTACGGTCAACTGGGTGGAATTCGAGTCGCCATCTCTTAACAAGATAATGAATCATGTTTTAGTGTTTGTTGACTGTTTCAACCGTGTTTCAAAGGGAAATTTGTGCGTTTCACCTTTTCAAATTCTCGCAAGTTTCTCTTCCGAAAAAAAAACCAAAATTTTTAATATTCCGTTAATTAATATAAATCTATCGACAAAATTGGTGGAAAACGTAATCTTCTGAATTTTCATTCCGAATCATAACTTTTTAATGATACAAAAAGTGAGTGCAAGAGAAAAATCTCTGGCTAAAAATAGCCCAACATCTCAAGTGGAGATATTGCTGTTTGGAGATTAAATAATGTAAACAATGCTGTAAATTACGTATATATGATTTCATTCAAACATTCTGAGCAATTCAACATGTTTATAATCACTGAAGATCATTTTTTCTCTTCACAATTTGTCCATTTTCTCGCAAGTAATGTGAAAAATCCAAAAATCGCAATCTCTTCGCGCCAAAATACTCTTCATTTCTCTTCCACTGCGCGAAAAGCTCTGTTGTGAAAGAGCGGAAAATGTTCAGCATTCAGCATATCAATTACCCACCTGACGTAATTGTACGGGAAATTGTGAGCGATAACTTTTTCCCAGAGGCAACAATTCGCGTGTGAGTCTCGAATTAAGGTGACTATTTTCACGATTTGCATAAATTTGTAAGTTTGGACGCGACCCAAAATGTACTTAGCAGTCCATTGTGGAGAAAGAGATCAAATTACGCTCTCAATTGCCTCTAATAGCTCATCTCAGGCACTCTGAGAGAGAGAAAGAGACGCAGAGATGTCATGGCAGTGAGTGCGAGCGGGAGAGGGCGAAGGTCTCGTGATGAGATCACTTTCGGGAGAGGAAGAAAGGGCGAAACGTGTAATTTCCTCTCAAATTGCAGCACGCGAGAGAGCGATTGGAGAGAAAAGCCACGCGAAGTGGGAGGGTGGGGAAGAGTTCCCCTCTCTTCATAAACTCGACAAACTCACTTCTCGCTCTCCGCGGCCTCGAATTATGACGTCTCTAATCCGCGCGATTAAAGGGAGAGAGACGCTGCAGTGACGCTCCCTCTCTTGCGATGTGTGACCTACATCGCCGCTCTCTCCCTTTCACTCTCTCAGGCCAAGTAGACAAAGAAGCCTGTCGGCATGAGAGCGCCCCGATGAAGGGCCATCAATTTGCGATGAGAATGCAAAGAAGCTTTCGAGGAGTGTTTGACGATGAAACTGCACAGCCAATGCCACTCTTCTCGCCCCCCGTGCTCCAGTCGATGGGATCAGTTTCTTTTTAGAGGCACTGCAAACTGGAAATTCAACTCGAGATTGCACACTAAAGCCCAAAGAGGGGAACCTCTCTTCGACACCACGGCGCTCCTCAGCAACAATAGAGAAACATCGCAATTATTTGTTTTGGGGGGAAAATGGCAAACGGACAGGTTTCTCACGAATAAATGCGTCTCCACAACTGGCGAGGAGTTTCTGAAGACCATCAAAATGGAAGGAAAATATTCAATTTACTACTTGTCCTCCTGCATAATCCCTTTTAACTGTGACCTTGAAGAAGTAACACACAAAAGTAGTATGTTGAAGGTGAAAGATTTCGCTAAATGCTCCTCGTCCGACACAAATGGACTCAGAATATGATAATTTGCTGGCCATATTCAGTTTTTAATGTAATAAGTATGATGAAACACTCAAAGTAGAATGATATTTAATTTTGATTGTGTTTATCGTCATAAAATTTGGTATCACGAACGAACGGTCAAACATGTTGGACGGAGAATGGAATCGCATGGCTTTTGGCTTTCGCAAGGACGATGTTCGTGATTAGCCTATAATTTAATTTTCTTCAATCTCAAGAAAGTTTATGAGATGTGAAATCCTCAACCCGCAGTTTAGATTCCAAACCTTGTCATGAAGTAATACAGCGACATTAAGCAATATAAGAGCTCGAAATGCTACTTTTCAGTGTTGAGCGAAATGCCTGTTCTCGAAATAAAACAACTTCGCGCTGAGTGAAATAAAAACAAACAACATCCATTAAAGTTGGCTGATTCGGCTGACGCTGAAAGTTTGATAAGAAAATTCGCACACTTGCAGTGATGTTACAGGAGTTGATGTGCGGAAAATCATCTTTTCCTCGCACCCATTCTGGCGCATGAGATCAATGACTCGGTATTTTTATCACTAACATATATAAGATACGCACAGTATTTTGCTCTCTTCACACTTTTACTCCAATCACAAGATAAGATTGCGATGCCGCATCGCATATAAATACTGACTTTTGTACTTTCATGCATTCTATCTACATAATAATACAATTCTACTTGTTCTTCACCTCTGATGGTCGTCAAAATTACATTGCAGGAAAACTTGTACAATTATCACGATAGGCCATTATCTAGCCTACCTACGGTTTCAGCGCAAGTGTAATAAACGAACAGCTTATGCGATACGAGTGAATTGCAAAGAGCTGGGCTGTCCATAAATGCCAAAGTGAAGAATTATGGATGTGAGTTTTTTCCCTAAAAAAAAAAAGAGAATAGCGATATGAGGAGAGAGAAAGGAAACGAGAAAACTTGCCTTGATATGGTTAAACTTCTGTTAATGTAGTTTTGCATGTCTCGCTGTTGGTCTGTTTTTGCTTAAAAGTGAAAATTAGGAAAACTTTCATGGGAAAACTCATTGGATTTTGCTGACGTTGCCCAGTGTAAAAGTGCCGGCATCACGAGATAAGGCTGCAGAAATACACTTATTGACAGTATATAAAAATTATATAATCTTTAAAAATATTTTCACAACAAACAGCAGAATGTGCGAAAAATACTTGATAAACGGTATGCGGTATTTATAGGATAGCTGAAACACCTCTTGTGAATAATAAATCAATGACAATACACTGAAATGTTATCCCACTGTGGAAACTCCGCAATCATTTGAATATCTTATCACCTTCCCTGTTTTCTTCTTCGATAGTTCGTTGCTTACCGTGAAAGTAAAACTATGCTACGGCTATTTGTAGAGAGAAATGTCCTCTTTCAAACTTTTATGCCTAAAATTTCGTCCTTAACATGTTTTAACATGACCCCTTTGGCCTTTTTGTTCTAATTTTCCACACAATTTCATGTGGTTAGAACACGCTAAACTTGCCAAGTGAAAAATAGAAGACATGCTTAGAAGCTCCCTTTAAAAAATTTCACTTGTCGCGTTGCAAAACAATGGCTGCAGTAATTTCGTTGAGCATGAGCACACGGTTTCAAACAATTTATGGTAATTGAATTTGATGAACTTGCCAGACTATTTTTGCTGAGCTGTGGATGACTGTATATCGCAACGAATCAGCCCAAACTCTATATGTCATCTTATGCGCTTCACAAAAATCCATCTCTGTTGACTATTCATCGCATTCATCGTGTATCAAAGGCAATTCATTGCAAATATATCAATGTTTTCCTCGATAGTATCTCGCTTTGCGTAATCGTGTGGAGGTGTGAACGGGAGAAAACAAACAGGCAGCCTATAGATGTTTGTCGGAAATAATATCTCGGGAATAAGTCGAGCATGAAGAGTGGCATAGATCTCAATTAAAGGCATTCTCTTCATCATTCGCGATATTCAATTGTTTGATTTTCTGCGCATTTGAATCTCGCCCATCAATTGATGGAGATTCATTTGGCTCGAGCCCCCACTTTTTTCTCTATATACCAGCCATGGCAATCGGATATCTCAGCTCGATGGTGACAATTTGCGCGGAAAATGTCATTTTGTCTCCTCGTGTCAGGAAATTCCAATTTTCTCCATTCATCCGCTCCCATAAAACTCTCACTCTCTCTCTCGATCATGGAGCTTAAGCAGGGAGCAAGAGATGCTCCCCCAGCCTCATTTTTACACCATATAATTCCCAAAACAGCACACTTTGATTGAATACGAGCCGCGCTGCGTGCGACGCAAAATCGGCGTGTGCCATGCGTGTAACCGAGAGAGAAATATAAACAGGAGTTAAATAATAAACAAAATTAGTTGTAAACCGTTCTTCTAGCGCTCCCCATCTCACTCCCACTCACCCACTGTGCCATCATATTGCACTGCTCTCCCGCATGAGTGTGTACGCGATGTTCAACTATTTAGAGGCACTCTTTCTGCCCGAGTATGTGTGTATTCATGCTGAATTGTAATCGAATTTCAACTTATGCTCAATTTGTAGTCAATTGTCAATGAAAAATTGGCCAGGAAAATGGGCGACAGTGGAAATTTGTGCATGGAAAAGTTGACCAATTTAGAAGGCACTGGATGTGCCTTCCATATGAAATGCCTCTCAGCACACATTATCGTGCAAGGCAGCAAACAAGTTGAGTGACGATGCGTGTGTGAGCAAAGAAAGGTATTGAAATGACACCAGAGGCGCTCTCTGGGGAGCTTTCCCCGGAGCGACACTGGGAGAAAAGCGTCCAAGAGAGAGCAATTTGTATCGATATTTTCTTTAGGATGAGATTTATGGGCATGACACTTTATGGGAGCCCCTTTTACGACATTCGGAGAGACAAGTGCGCCATTTGTTGGATTGTTCGGGAACACTTTGAGGGCCCAAAATTCATTTTGAATTGCATCTCGCTACACTTGATAAATAAATATCAGAAAGGCAAGCGCTTTTATAAGGGCGAAGAAGGTTCTACAAATTGCTATTTGCCTTGCCCTTCCTGCACACTTGATTGTACGCGATAGATTGTAGTGTCGCTGCCTACTTGGCTTCAACAAGGTCGAGCAACAGTGTTATCTTCACTCAAATTGCGCCCTGCAGCCTTCAATTTCCCTTATTGCTCTCCTAGCTGGCCAAGAACCACTGATTCTGCCCTCAGACCCTCTCTGGGCTGCCTAATGCCTGAGTTCGGGCCTCTATTTTCCATTTTTCAATGCTCAAACGCGGGAGAGCGAGCAGAGCGGAGGGGGAGTCACCGCGCGCAGCGCTCCAGTGCCCATTGCTCGAACCACCGTCAAACATGGCGTAAGGCTGCGAGTGCGAAGAAGGTTGAGTGTTTCTTCGTGAGCGATAAAGTGCGATTTTTCGTGTGACAAGTGTGACGAATTGCGTGCCAGCACGTGCGTGAGGCATTTAGGAGTGCACCTGTGCAGAAATGACGGACATTGGGGTGGTGGAGAACATCGAAACGGGGCATTTTTCGGGGACGGAAAATGACGTCGAACCTCCCTGCTCGAGAACAATGAAGGCGACTGAGGAGCCATCGGCGGCCACCAATGGAACTGGTGAGCAACAACAACAAGTTGGCGCGCCATCAGCGGAGGGTTCGCGCGCTGGCCAGGCGGAGCGCCCGAGGGGCAAGCGAAAGTGTCGGCGGGGGCGCGCCAAGGCGAAGAGGAACCAGAGCCACGTGAAGCCGTACGCGTGGAAGGTGCCCGTGGCGAACAGGCGCTCCGCCGCCAGTCACGTCCGCAGCTCCATCGTGCCATACAACACCAACAGGTTCCTCATGGAGGACCACATGCCGGAGATGCAGACGAAGGGGCGCCAGCGGGACTCCAGCTTCTCCGTGGACTCGGACGAGAACTACTTCTGCAGCCTGCCCGAGGACGAGGAGGAGTTCCTCACCAAGGAGTTCAGCAGCGTGTACGAGAACGCCAAGTGCGAGCGCCTGGACGGCCTGACCAAGAGCCAGCTCATCCAGGAGTACCTGCAGCTGGAGGCCAACTTCGAGGTGGTCAGCACGCGGCTCGCCGCCGAGACCACGCAGACACACGCCGATGCCAAAGAACGGATGCACAACTACGAGTTTCAGGACAGAATCCGCAACCTCGAGGAGCAAATCCACAAGCTCACCGAGGACAACATGGGTGAGTTTAACTCTTTCTCTGCCACTCGCAGGTTCGCGTGTTCAATGGCCTGATCCAGTTTTGCATTGGCGATTTCGCGCGTCCGCTTGATAACGAAGATAAAGCGCGATAAAATTGAAATGGTGATAATAATAACAGCAGTAAAATAGGGATTTAGAAATTATTAAAACAGCCATAAATTTGAGTGCAAGTACTTTATTGTAATTAATATGCAAAAAAGCACACGTGAAACAACATCATCGCGCTCGCTCTCTTCACTCAATCACGCAAGAGCTGTATTGTAATCAGTCGGTCGTGCGAGTTGTTCTCCGTTTTTCCTCACTTTGAGCTGTTCTTGATTTGAGCAGTGCGTCATTGATAAGGGATTTCCCTGCATTATGTAATTCTCCAGTTCCTTATCACGATGTCTCTATGATCTGATTGGCACACACTTGTTTACATTTCACTCTATCGTTTAGAGCGTCATTAACTAGTATTTCTTCGATTTTGCTTATGTTAAAATCGAACAAATCAAATGTAACTGAATATTCAAGAGATTCAAGGGTAGTTTTGCACTATAAAATTTTTGAGAAGAAAATTTTCTGTCTATAATTTCGAGCGTATCGCGAAAGTTTGAGCCATTTGTTGGCTTTTTATTTGAAGAGCCAGAACAAATTTTCTCGCAATATTAAAGCACAAATCCCAAGTGAAACTTCCAGCCAATCCCAATCGATACGCTGAGCTTTTGAGCGACACAAAGCAGACTTCCTATTTGGGGAAGTTGTTCTGAGTGCAAATGGCAGAGTGTTAGGTCGCAATTGAGAGTCTCGGCTGCAGTGAATCGGCTTTCTTGCCACTCATTGCAACGGTATTTGACTTTGTAATGTCCCACACTCTCTGGCTTTCCCACTCCATCCCGATGAGGTGTGTTTGTTGCCTAGAATGGCTGGTAAACAGCGAATGTTGTGACTCCTTGCAGATCTCAGCAGGCAGCTGGAGTTCTACCGAAGTAAGGCACCCTTGGCCAGGATGGCGTGCTCCAGCAGTGAAGACAGCGAGAGCGACAGCTCCTCCTCCAGTAGCTCGAGCAGCTCCAGCAGCAGCAGCAGTGACGGCGAAGCCACGATGCACTGTGATGAGGAGGAGGTGGGAGCCCCGAAGGTGGCGCCCCTTTGCAACGGCTACTCACATTCCCTCTCGCCGCCGCAGCACAATGGGGAGCTCCTCAATGGCCACCACGTGTCGCCCAATCCGCATTCGCCGTCGCAGTACAATTCCCTGTCGCCGCGCGGCTGAAGAGAGTCCCCCGACGATGACCTGGCAACTCCTGGACACGGCTTGCTTTAAGTTTCTCTCCTCAAACACATCGCGGAACACTCTGTGATCTCCGGGATCTCTGTTGAATTGCTGCCCCATCACATCCCACATCCCTCGAAATGCCCAAGAGAAATGTGAAACAATTGATAATAAAATTGCTTAAATTTTCTAAAGAATTTACTGCTTCTTCTTGCGCACCTTCGGCTCTGGCGCTGACGGATTCTCGCCACTGTAGAAGGTCTTCAGCAGATCCATCGCTTCGGCTGCACGCACGCCTCCGACGCACGACGGCCGCTTGTCAGCCGGAAGGGTTGCGGCCACGTTCAGCACGGTCTGACCACCGAAGCGATCGTTCACGCAGCCGAAGAGAATCTCCCGCACGTGGAGCTCACTCAGGGCGGCCAGACACATAATGCAAGGCTCCACAGTGACCACAACTGAGACTTCGCGGAAGACACAGCGGAAATCTTCGCCTGAGACGGAAAAGCACATGCGTTAATCGTAATTACAGGTAAGTTTATTACATCGGTAATTCAAGAGTGTTTCACATTTTATCCACAACTTAAAAAAAAAAATACAAATAAATTCAAAAAGACTGAAAAGTCGTTTTTCAGCTGAAATTCTAAATACTTGATTGGAATGTTTGGATATAAAACATCTTTTGTGTATGTTTATGTGATTGTTTCCGCTTCATGAATAGTTAAACATTCTGCGCAAGGCGCTCTTCTCCTGGATAACACTGTAACAACATCTCTCAAAGACTGGCAATTGAGGTACATTTATGAGTTCAACAGAAAGATTAATTCACCTTTTTCCTCTGCCATTTGCAGGACTTTATCAATGCAAATCATTTCAGCGTGTCTCGTAGCATTTTTCGTGTCATTAACTTCATTTCCACCCGTCGCTACTATCTCGCCATTGCGAATGAACAGACATCCGACGGGTACTTCTCCTCTCACTAGGGCTTCTCTGGCCTGCTTGAGCGCCTCCTCCATAAACTCCTCCATCTTCTATTGGATGCGAAATCACTGGGATTTCTTCAAGAATCTGTCGACGTCGTTCTCAATCAGCCACTTTCTTGCCTTTTCGCCCCAATTTGTGTTGTTGACACTCCTCGGGCTGGGATGTGGGAGACATTTGTGGCCTATTGAGTGATCTATGGCGTTCTGCTTGAACAGTTCCTTCACGCGATCCTCCACATAACGTCCAATTGACACGATCACGCGAGGCTCGAGCAGATTTATGGCCTCGGCAAGGCGATTGTTACAGATTTCCTGAAGCTTTCTCTTCTCCTCGCCCTAGAACAAGCACAAAAGGTCAGATTTTGGAGCACCCAAAACTGGAAAAATGACTCACTTTGAGCTCTGCTGGCGTTACATTTGCTCCGGACGACTTGAAGAATGCCAGAGGGCAGAGATTGTAGACGAAGCAATTCTCGAAGAAGTTCTCAGGTGGCCCACAGAGAGACTCCAGCAAACCCCAGAATCTCTGGCCGCTCTGTTCAGCTCGGGTGCACTTCAAACCGTCCACAGGACGCACAGCAAGTTCTCCTTCGGGCTTTTGCACGTTTCCCTCCAGTTTCATCCAATCCCTGATGGCTGGGATGTATCCGAAGGGCACCTGTGGATGAGAAACAACATGAATAATCAGTCAGACAGACTCAGGAAAGGGCAATTTACCCCAGTCTGGCACATTCCCCACGGTCCCGGATTCATGCCCACAAAAAGCACGTGCTTCTGTCCTGTCAGGAACTTCCTCATGTAGGCGCAGTGCAGCTCAGAAGCGTACTCCACTGGATTGTACACAGCGGCCACAGGCCCACCAAATTTCAACCCCCTCAGCTGGGCATTCATGCGAATCTCAATATCGTACAATTTCTTCCACAGCGGAATGTTGTTTGAGGTTATGTCACCGTCAACCTTCGCTTCTTTGATTTCCGGCTCTGTCACTGCAGTTTCCTTTGGCGCCGATGCCCCGTCGACTTCATCGATACCTGAGCGATTTCTCTTGAGTTTCCTGCGCAGCATTTTGCGGAAAATTACCTGGAAATGAGGATTATCGCGATGCCAGACCCAAAACACAAAAGCACACTGACAGAGTGGAACTTTCGGAAATGCGCCTTTTTCCTCCGGAATGTGGGATATTTTGAAAATTTCCCTTATCACAGACTCACACCCAAACACTATTTCGAAGCGACCTCGTGCGGAATGTGACCGAGAATCGAATTCTTCGAATCTCATGTTGACTTTGAGGGATTCCCCTAAACTAGAAAATAACACTGGCACATCTCCAATAAATTTATAAATTTCATCTCAAATAGATTTTTATTTGCATTTCTTTTCTTATAAATGCACATTCACACTATTTACATTACACTGTCAATTGATCGATTTTATTTTCTCATTATGGCGACTTTCGTTTGATTAACTAACCTAGTGAGTACCTTAAAATTGCAGCACGACTTTCGCTGAATTCTTGTGAAAAATACTCGGGATCGAATGGATCAGAAAGAGTCTCAATAAAATGAAAGTCGATGAGCACGTAAATACACATTATAAATACCCCAACACCGGAAGTTGTCCCAAAAAAGGCCAAGTTCAGCGCTCGAGAGCTTCCACGAACGAGGTGATCTCGAACGGAACAAGAGCTTTTCATTTTCATTTTAGCAGATATAGTTGATAATAGTAAATCAGTTCAAAGTGGTCGTTGATACTTAACAATTAATTCGCGTGGCTCTAGCCACAACGTCCTGACTTGAAATTGACGAAACTACCTAATGGCCTATCTCGCTAGGAAATCTTCTCTTATCTATATTCGCAGGCTTCGACCTCGTCCAAGGTTGATCCACTCCACAGGAATTCTGTTGCGGTCATCGAATGTGTTGATTCGACAATTGGGAATCCTGGCGGGCTTCTCACAACGTCTGCTCACGTGCCAATAGGCGTATCCCTTCGGGCACCTGTACAGCGTTCCCTCGAGCTTCGTGTCCCTCCCCATTCGACCACACTTAACGAAGTAGTTACTGCATGCGGCATCCTCAAAGGCAAAGAAGCCTTCGTTGGGGCACAGTTTCTTTGCTCGCTTGAGCTGAATCTGTAAGAAGAATTACACATTTAGTGGAATAATCACAGCTGAAATCACAATCAATCTACCGATGATCGCTTCGTGGCGAGTCCACGCAAAGATCTCTCTGACGGTGACGATTGGCATGGAGTTGTCTGATCTGGAGGCAAGCACTGAGTCTCCTCTTCATCGTATACAGTTCCATTTGGACAACTAAACACTGCTATGTTGTAGTCCTTGCTTCCCTCTTGTTGAGTGCATTGATAGAAATCGTTACAGTTCTCTGGGTGACGCCTGAATCCTGTGGGGCATACAAAGTACGCCTGTCCACTTTCCAATGGTGGGCATGATGAATCCTGTGGTGACTCTGTGGTACTTTCAGTTGTTGTTTCATCTGTCGTAGTGGATTGCTCTGTAGTTGTTTCATCGGTTGTAGTTGATTGCTCTGTAGTCGTTGATTCATCAGTTGTTGTGGATTGCTCCGTTGTAGTTGTTTCATCGGTTGTCGTTGATTGCTCTGTAGTCGTTGATTCATCAGTTGTTGTGGATTGCTCCGTTGTAGTTGTTTCATCTGTTGTCGTTGATTGCTCAGTTGTCGTTGATTCTTCAGTTGTGGTGGATTGCTCAGTTGTTGTTGTTTCGTCTGTTGTGGTTGATTGCTCTGTAGTCGTTGTTTCTTCAGTAGTGGTGGATTGCTCGGTTGTTGTAGATTGCTCTGTAGTCGTTGATTCTTCAGTTGTGGTTGATTGTTCCGTTGTGGTGGATTGCTCAGTAGTCGTTGATTCTTCAGTTGTTGTAGATTGTTCTGTTGTGGTTGATTCCTCTGTAGTTGTCGATTGCTCTGTGGTTGTTGATTGTTCTGTCGTTGTTGTTTCATCAGTCGTTGCTTCGGTTGTTGTTGACTGCTCGGTTGTAGTAGTTTGCTCTGTAGTTGTTGATTCTTCAGTCGTAGTGGATTGTTCTGTGGTTGTTGATTGCTCTGTAGTTGTTGATTCTTCAGTTGTGGTGGATTGTTCTGTTGTAGTGGATTGTTCTGTTGTTGTCGATTCCTCCGTTGTAGTTGACTGTTCTGTCGTAGTTGACTGTTCCGTTGTAGTTTGCTCGGAAGAAGATGTCGTAGTGGATTCAGTCGTACTATCGGTGACTTGATTTTCTGCAGGCGGTGGTGTTTTGCAGTTTCTCGGCGGTTGAACACTCTCTGGATAATTGCAAGTCTGTAAGGCCGGATCCCAAATAGTGCCTTCTCCACACTCAAAGTGATATAACGAGAATTTCTCTCCGTTGTTCTCCCAATCAACGCATCGATAGAATTTCTTACAGTCATCAGGATTCGGGAAGAAACCGGCTGTTTCGCACTTAATCTCGCTTGTTGCATTTCCACATGGTGGTTCCGATGAAGATTGTGTTGTTGATTCAGTACTTGATGAAGAACTTGTTGTAGTCGAGGAAGTAGTTGTTGATGACTGTGTTGTTGTGGTACTAGATGTAGTTGAGGCTGTTGTGGTACTAGATGTGGTTGAGGCTGTTGTTGTAGTACTTTCTGGAGGTGCTGATGACGACGAACTGCTGGTTGGTGTGGATTCCGTACTGGAAGATGATGATGTAGTTGTGCTTGGTGGAGCTGACGATGATCCTGATTGATTTTGACAGGTTGGGACATCTTTCTCATGATTACATGTTTGCAGTTGATCGTCCCATGCAGTTCCTTCTCCACACACAAAGTCATGTTTTGTATATCCACCATTTCCGTCATCAACGCATCGGTAGAACTTGTGGCAATCATTAGGATCTCCGAAGAATCCTTCCCTTTCGCATGTTCCAGTCGAAGGAGAGGATGTTGTAGAGGATGAAGAAGGTGGTGCACTCGTTGTGCTACTGCTGGTTGTTGTTTGTTGCTGTGTGCTTGTGGTCTGAGGTGGAGCACTGGAGGACGACTGTGTTGTCGTAGTGGAACTTGGTGGGGCCGATGTAGTACTTTCAGACGGTGCCGCAGAACTACTAGATGTGGTCGTGCTTGATGGTGGAGCTGACGAAGATGAAGATGGAGGACTTGATGTTCCTCCATTGCATCGTTCAACGGAATCTTCGTGGTTACAAGTCTGTGCTGTCTCGTCCCATGCTGTTCCCTGACCACATGTGAAGTCGTATCTCGTGTATCCACCTTGGCCATCACTTACGCATCTATAGAATTTGTGACAATCTTTTGGATCAGCCATAAAGCCTTCGCCTTTACATTCCGTACCGGCCGGTTGTGAGCTGGTGGCTGTAGTTGACTCCGTTTTACAGGGAGGCGTGGTTGATTCAGTGGCAGCAGATGAAGATCCAGGCTCCTTTGTTGCCTCAGATGTACCAGTTGTGGTGGTGGTAGATGGTGTCGTGGAACTAGTTTGACTCTCAGTAGGCTGTGAACTTGATGAAGATCCTTCGGGCTGTGGTGTTGATGAACTTCCAGAAGATGATCCTGTGCCGCAAGGCGGAGCACTATCAGATGGGTAATTGCAGGTTGTTGTTGCTGTATCCCACACAGTTCCTTCAGCGCACGTAAAGTTGTATCGAGTGTAACCTCCATTTCCATCATCTACACATCTGTAGAAGTTTCTGCAGTTACTCTCATCAGGGTAGAATCCTTCTTCGTGGCATTGTCCATCGGATGATGGTGGTTTGGACGTTGTAGACTGTGTTGCTTGAGATGATGTAGTTGATGCAGTAGTGGTAGTACTTGCTGTGGTAGTACTTGCAGTGGTAGTGCTTGCAGTGGTGGTACTTGCAGTGGTGGTTGATGATGAGGAAGCTGCGGTAGTTGTTGACGAAGGCGCCTGAGAGGAAGTGGAAGCTGGTGCCGATGTGCTTGTTTCTCCCCCTGATCCTGAATCTGTATTAGATCCTGTTCCACACTTGGGATCCTTGACCGCCCACGCGTGGTTGCAAGTGTCTTGCGTGCTATCCCACACAGTTCCTTCAGCGCAAGTGAAATTATATCTATCGTATCCGCCTTTGCCATTGTCTACACAGCGGTAGAACTTGCGACAATCCTCAGGATCGCCCATAAATCCGTCTCTTTCACACTGTCCCGATGAACTTGATCCATCGGATCCTGAGCTTTCTTGGCCACTGCCAGTAGATGTAGTATTACTAGAACTGGAAGAACCACTTTCTGAAGTAGATCCAGAAGATGACTGACTGCTGTCCGTTGAAGAGCTACTTGAACTTTCTGATCCCGAAGACGATTGACTGCTTGTTTCTTCTGATGTTGAAGAACTTTGATTGCTCGATCCGGACGAGGTTTCACTGCTAGTTTGATTCGAAGAACTGCTCTCCGAGCCGGAGCTTGACGATGTCTCACTGTTACTTTGATCCGTAGATGAACTACTAGAAGAGCTCTCAGATCCTGATGAACTACTAGATGAGCTCTCAGATCCGGATGAAGATTCACTACCAGATTGTTGAGATTCACTCGTAGAACTGCTACTTTCAGATCCTGAACTTGTGGAGGATTGACTCTGTTCGCTCTCTGATCCTGATGAAGTCTGGCTGCTGGTTTGTTCTGATCCTGATGATGAACTGCTACTTGACGATTCTGATCCAGATTGACTACTCTCAGAAGTAGAAGATGACGAGGTAGAGTTGCTTTGCTCAGTAGAAGATTGGCTAGTAGACGAGGAAGAGCTGCTGCTAGAAGAACTGCTAGAGGAACTGCTGGAGGAACTGCTTGAGGAACTGCTAGAAGAGCTACTCGAAGAGCTGCTAGAGGAGCTGCTAGATGAGCTACTTGAAGTGCTGCTGGTATTTTGTGAGGAAGATGACGTCATGCTGGAGGACGAAGTACTGTAATATTCGTCACTCATGGTGGTAGAAGCACGTCCGCCGCAACTCTCCACCAGATACTCATGGTTGCATCCTTGAATGTTTTGATCCCATGCAGTGCCTGCGCCACACGTGAATTCGTAGCGTCTGTAAGTTCCATCCTCGTTGGATACACACTGGTAGAATTTGTGGCAATCCGTCGGATGCTCGATGTAGCCATCACTCTTGCAGAGACCCTCGTTGTCGTTGGTGTCCGGGACAGGCTCAGCGTCTGGCTCTGGCTCAGCTGTCGGTTCCTGGGAGTGGCTGGGCTTTGGAGTGGTGGAGGTCGTTGTGGTGGTAGTGGTGGTGGTGGTTGTAGTCGTCGATGAGGATGGGGCGTCCTGTTGCTCGGATTCCGGGTCAACGGAGTTCGACGCCGGACCACATTTCTCGTTGTCAGCATCGCTGGGATGGACACACACATTGTTGGTCGACGAGAAGACGGTTCCCGGGCCACAGAGGAAGGAGTAGTCTGTTAGTCCTCCATTGCCATTGTCGACGCAGCGATGGAAGACGGCACAGTCGTCGGGGTCTGGGTGGAATCCCTCACCCTCGCACTTGAATGACTCTGGAAGAATGCGAAAGAAAGAGAAAAGTGGTTGAAAATACTTGTGGCGATAGTCTATTGACTTTATTGTCTGTCTATGGCGAGAGTGAAGTCAATAAAATAGTGGGATTAAACGTGAAAGTCAACATTTGGTGATATTTTGTGGAATCATCCTCTGGGACTCCGTGCAGGCATGGAGTGGATGTACGGAGGTGGTGTGGACACTCAACAAATGGAAATATGCAAATGGTCAGATTTTACGACAGTAATCATGATATTTTCTCAACTTCACCCATAATAATCTAAAATGCTTCTAAGTTGGTGCCAAGCACACTCCTGAGCTCGGCATATTCTTCTCGCAGGACGGAAGGTATTTGATATTCCCAAGAGATGGTTGGTGGGTGGAAGATTTTTCACCTGGCCACCTAAACACTCGCTCTTGCCTTCACAGCACAGACGAGAGGGAGATACAGATGAGGATGGAGAGAAGAGACATTTTGAATTAATAAGCAATTGTGAAAGGAATTTATGGAGCATGGACAGAGTTGGCAAAACTTGCACTTCAGCCACACCTTGAGCTGAGCTTTTTATTCACTTCCCATCGCCGGTGGTGGAGTCAGCAGTGCCTCGTGGATGAGTCTCTGGTGACACGGGGAGATGATTAGTCGTAAACAATTGACAGTGGCGGCGCTTTGGGAATATGGCTTTAGTTCTTCCACCCTCTTCGAATGCGAGCTTAAGCGTGGAGTGATGGGTGTTTTATGGACCAAGTGGGAGCGCTAGACGATGCCTCGAGGACTTATCTTAATTGAGACAACTTCTTATCCTCACATTCATGCCATAATCATTTTCTTCCTCCCAACCAGCCACAATATTCCTGGTGAGACTCAGTGCAGTCCCCATGCAAATCAACCGCCACTCCAGGTGGGTTTGCCAGCGAACATCAAAGGCACAATATAACAGGAGATTGCTAATGTCGTGTGCAATTTGATAAATTGCCCCTCACATCTTCTGACTGTCTCAAACACCAGACTGTTCTGCAGTTTAGTTCACAGATCCAAAAGCAATTTTGAATTGTTACAATTAGAGAGACTAGAGCTTTGCACGCAACCATAAAAACTGATTTGGCATAAGAAGCAATAAAAGTGCACCCTTTTCTCAGTACAACACTTCCACCTATTATTTCCTCTAACTCGCAACTTTTATTTATGCAACAGTTCTTGATCAGAGAAGGCAATCTTTCTTCACAATTCCTTTGATATCTTCAACACCTCATCAAATAGTTTCTAATTAAAATTTAATTGTAGCAAATTGTGCACCTCTACCTAATGAATTTATTCATCTTATGTGACAAACAAATCGTATCTTGCTCTTCTTTATTTATTGATAGTAAAGTCTGAAATGGCAAAGCACCGCCACGATTCAGCAGTGGTATTCAATTGCAATTCATGCAAATCTCACTTGAATTTGCACTCCCTTGGTGCTGCTATGCAACTCTAAATCTTCTTTAATTGGCATTTTACAGGAAATATTTAATTGAAGGCATCGCTTGCATTTTCAACTGATTCCCTTTTAAACCCATCCCATCGTTGTTTTCCAACGGTTTGCACGCACTTTTGATGCAGATAAAATGGTAATTTTTTTTTTGTGTTCTCCCTTTAAGATCATACTTGTAGATGCAAATGTTTTGCACCTTCTTAGATGAGAAGATCATAGATGCGGAGACTCTTATGAGTGTGAAAAATTAACAAGCCGAGTCATAGCCTTTAATTGACTCATTGATCGACATGCAACATTGTATTCTCAAATTGCATTGTACAATAAATTGATTTCATGGCTTGATAAGTCACTGCAAGCTAATTAAACACTCTGTGGACATTATTTGCTTGTTCAACACATAGACAGCAGGCGTAATGCAATGGTTCACTTTGGAGCTTAATTAAAATTCGAATTTGGAACTAATAATGAAATGGTAAAGAGTGAGAATGGTGAATTTTTGCGGGATAAATTAGGCTGGAAAATGAGTAAGAGGAAAGTTGGACATGTGAAATTGGGGCGCATCATAAAGTGACTGAAATGGTGGAATTTGTCGTAAAGTGACATAAAATAATTCGACATATTTGCATATCTAGCAAATTTTATTTTACTACTTCTACGCGAAAGAATTTGCTGGCAAGACAAGTATGGGAATATCACGGACACAATTTGTCCAGAGGGATAGCCACGGAGAATGTCACTCTGGGCTATTTGGAAGTAATTACCATGTCTTGCAGTGTGAAAAACCATTGGAATTTATACGTGAATTAATGCTGCAGAGATAAATAATTTATATTTTTAGGGGTTTGTCACACTTTCCACTCAATTTTTGGGCATATTTTTCCTTTCATTCCGGTTTATTTCGGGTTTTTGAGTTTTGTGAAATCTTCTAAATGAATGGAACCGTAAAAGAACCGTGAAAACATTTAAGGAAACGTTATGGGTGAAAATTAAGTAGACATAAATCACCTTTATCGAGAGGCAGAATAAATTATGCAAATCATTGCTGAATAGCAGAAAAGAATAGACATCTTTTCGACCTAAATACTTGGCGGATATAAATAAAGTCCTGTTATGGGAAAACTAGTTGGTGGGATGATGGAAGTGTAGCGCCTCTGGAGATTAAAGGAGCTGCGGGCGAGAAATGGGGTGAAACTAATTACTTTTGATTGACTGGGCGAGAATTTAGCCTCATTCACAGTTGCAGTGTGAAAAGTGGCCGAACCATCTGGTGGTGGAGTCTATCAAAACAGACATTGCGAAGGTGTTCCAATCTAGATCTCGAATGCCATTTGTCTCGGGCCATAATCCTGATGACATTGTCACTTTTCCCATTTAAACCTGCCACATGAAATGCGAGAGAGAGAGAGATTTGAGCGCTAGAGGCTGGACAGCGAAACGCTGAGAAGACCCTGAAATAGCATCAGTACTGACCAGTCGCAATGTCAAGTGCGTTGGGGCCGGTTTGAGCTGAGTGGCCAGTTGGACGAAAATCTGTGTGCGTGGACGAGGTGAGTCGCAACAATACACTGGCGCTGTTTTGCCATTCGCGGCGCTGACGCTGGATCGCAGCCTCGCCAAAGTGGGCAGTTCAATCGCCGATTTATCTGCTCGTTCCTCTTCTGAATCTTCTGCCGAGGAGCCAGGCACCTTCTCACCACTGACACCAATACACCGAGACAGGACTTTTACTGAAACTCCTTGTTTTTCCTCAAGTATTTCTTTCTTTTTCGCATTCCTGATCAAGACAGACGATTGCTTCAAAGAGGGAATGAGTGGAGAAATCGCAACGTCTTGAATTTTTAGTGGTCACTGTTTGTGTAGCCAAAGCACTGGTGTGTGAGTAACTTAATCTCTAATGCCATGAGAAGTGTGTTATTTATGAGGATATTGCGCGGGTCAAACACCTTGCAAATTTTGCCTATATCTCTTTCCTGTTTGCCGACTTCTGGTTGTGGGCGCGGAAGAAGGCGAGGAACTTATCGGAATTTTAATGAAATCACCTCTCCCGTCCACTAATCCAAACCGTGTGCGACTGTGGGAATCACCGAATACAATCAAATCTATTTGGAGCAATGGCAAAAAAGAGAGTCTCACTGCTTTAGTTGTGTTGAAATTCTCTGGGTTGATTGTTCTGTGAAGGTAAAACTGAGAATGGGAAAAGCTCTCTTTCCTGTGTTATCTGATGGCGAAAAGAAGAATCAAAAACTATAAATATTGCACCCTGTCAGGTGGAGTTTCTCCTCGACATTGTTATTTCTTAATCACTTCCCAATCCCTCTCGGTCTGCGCGTTGGTCAGCAGCAAGCATCCAGGAAAGGTGAAATAGGAGAACAATAGAGTTCATTGGAAATTGAAGTCAATTGACTTGCAGTCTTGCGAAGAAGCTCTGCCGATTTCGAAGCGATAGGAGAGGACAGAAAAAAGGGTCTCAAATTGCTTTTTAATTTACAGTTCAATGCCGGAATTGATGGTGAGGGAGAAGATTGCTCAGATAGCGCGGCAACTGCTCATCCATTTTCAGGACGTCACTGTAATTTATCTTCCAGTCCATATCACTAAATGCGTCGACGGGAATAATGATATTCTCGAATGGGGGGGGGAGAATATGATAATTGTGTCTTCTCCTTTTTCTCATTCCCCCACAATTTTCCCGATGTCCCGCAGAAAAGAAATCAGACAGGATAATTGTATGCTTGAGTGTGGCGAAAAGAAAACATCCTGCCACATTGTCCGACATAATGCTGTAATGATAGCACCATGCTAAGTGAATTCACATTAAAAGGCTGCTTCGCGACCTTGACAATCGTTTATCGTGGATGAAAAAAAAACATCCCCAGAAGGAGAATCGATTATTGGGATTACATACAATTTGTCCCAATTATCCAATAGGTTGGAATCATCGCAATTTATTACCTTTCTTGCACTGACTTTTCACCATGCGTGTCTGCCAAGTGTTCTAAAACGATCAATTGGAATTTTTCTCGTATTTGCAGCTACTGTTTGCTCACATTTTTTGCCACTTCTTCTCGTCCATCAGTTCAACATTGCTGATGCATAGTGATTACATTAAAAGGCTAATAAATCAGTGGATTTGATGCTGTGAAAACAGTGTAATTGTTCGCTTCTGGAACTTGGCATGGCGATGGAGAGTGAAATTCAGCTTTGCCTCTGTATTTTCAGCGCTTTGTGGTTTGAAATTTTGTGTGAAATTTCAACGTTAGCAATTATCTCTAAACTCTAAGAATTAGTTTCAATCACTGGCCGTTTCAGTTTTCTCTGTATGTGGAAGAAGACAGAGAAATTGCACGCCCCATTGACTGCAATCGCTTGATTCATGGGACAATTGCAAGCCAAGAGCGATCATCTCGATTGACAATCGACTCTCGGCTGAGCTATCAAGTGAGATAAACTGGGGTGGATGGATGGATCTTTCTCAGCTTTGATGTCTCATGTCAGGTCAAATCGTCTATATTGTTTCATGTGTGATGTGTCAGCTCCTGATCTTCCAGTTTCTCTGCGCCCATCAGAGAGTATGGCTTGTATATTTATCGATGATTGTCGCATAGAGTTATAGATGCCGCATTTAACGTAAAAGTGCCATTGCATGTGAGATGCATTTTGAGCGCGACACATTGCACGACAAGGAGGCACTCAAGGAGGTCTGCACCATCCTTGGCAGCCTCCATTTGGGATGCCATGAGAGAGATGGAGATCCGGTGGAATGTGCTCTGGCCATTTCGCGCTTTGATAAATGGTTTCGAGGAATTTTTGCATTTAATGAGGCAATCTGTTTTCTTCACTTCCATCCTCGTATTGTTGGCATCATGAGTGTGTGTTTGTGTGTGCGAAGGGACGATGGAGAAGGTAGGAAAAATTATTATTTATTGTAATCTCATGGAGATAGTGCAAAGGAGGAAGAAGGTGCGATAACATATGGGTTCAATTGATGTGCCAACTCTTCCCCGAAAGAAGAAAAAAAGACCACCACACTGTCGCCATTAGAGGAGATCCCAGAGGTGTTTGGCGCGATAAAGAGAAAAGACCCGGGAATTGGCTACAAGGGAGTTCCCGTGGAAAAAACGTCGCACAGCTCCAGAGAGGAGAAAGATTACAAAAAGTGATTATGCCTGGGCTTTTATAAATTGTCTGATTTAATCACAATGTTTTCCCCGGCAAAAAGGGGGAAAAAACGCGACCGCGTCGAGCAAAAAAATATTACACCAAAGTCATAATCTCGATGCTCCAGGATAATTTATAATGTATTCCACTCATCTGCAGCCACAGCGAATTGATAATGCTCAGATGCGAGGCATATAAAGAATATCTTGTCTTGTCTTGACCACCTCATAAAGTGGTCAGTAGCCCTCTCACGGGGAGATGAGCACAAGGAATCCGGTTGACCAGTGAGTTCAATTCACTTTTTACCAGACGCACATTTGCAAGTACATTTTTCACTGATGCATATGCTTCATCGTGGGGAGAAACTCACCTTTCGTGTTCTTCCCAAGCTCTACTTTTTATTCTACATCCACACTCGCCGGCTCTCGAGAGGAGAAAATATCTTCCAATTCGCCTCTATCGACAACATAAATTAACACCGGCTCTCCTATATATAGAGAGCGTGTTTTGCTCTGCAATATCTCGGTGTTTTAATTTTCAAAATAAGATGAATGGCTAGTGGAAGTTTTCACACAAGAACGCCAGTCTCGTTTGAGAATCTTGCAGGCAAAGAGGATTGCGAGAAGAACAAATTTACTATCTAAGGGAAAAACAGACATTTTACTTGGAGAATAATTTCTCTTTCAAAGTCGAGAGAGAAACCACTTCAGCCTGAATGTAGAAACGAGTTTAGAATTCAGCAATAATTTAGTAATTTGGCCAAAATAGTCGTGGGCATTTCCTCTCTCAGGCGAGATAATTTATTGACGGTCAAAAATCCTATATAATCATAGTCAGATCACCTTAATTCATAGTAAAAAAAATCCCACACAGCAGTAAAGAGTCCAATGGAAGTATATAGCAATCATTAAGCATCAATATTGTGATTCACGGAGCGTCATAAAATACGAGGCACAATAAAAGAATTCGCTTGAGATCATGGCTGAAAAGTCACAAACTTAATTCAGATATTTCCAAGCACTATTAATCGATTTAGTGCTATTTTTCGAGATATTCTGAGAAAGTTCATCTCATAAATATTACAAAAGTGTAAAAAAAAAAGTGCGAGAATTTTATTGGGTTCTTAACTTTATGTTCAACATTACCCTATAATTGCTTTCAGCTCGACTACAATGGGAAAACTCCTCTTCAAGATTCTATACGTCTGAAACTTTCACTTGAAATAACTCACCCTTGATTGAGCGATGAAAATTTTACGCGATGTTGCATAAAATCAATCGATAGTAATAAGGCGAGCGAAAGGCGCTTTTATGACTTAATTGAATTTCTATTGCATGGAGAAAGTTCGATAATAGAAAAGGTGTTAAATGCCTTGTCACTTTTGAAAACGATTGCCATCAATGGCGAATAGTTTTCTAAGGGACGCGATGATGATGAAAACAAAAGTTTTCTCGTGTGTTTTCACGTGAGAGTCTGCAGTGAGAAAATAAATTGGAAAACACGATAAAGTACCCAAACCGAGACTCACCTTGTGCTGAGGTCGTTCTCAAGAGAGCCAGAGTGAGGATGGCACAGAAGGCAAATTTGAGCGGCAGTGGAGGCGCCATGTCTTCGCAGTTCCGTCACAATTACCCTGGGAGGAGGCAAAAGGTGTCCTTAGGCGGACGGGAGGTCCTTGTTTGTGTGCTTTCAGGCCAATTTGGTGTGCTCTACAAATAAATTATAAGAGAAAAAAGGTATGTTTTGCAAATTACTGGCCATTTCAATGAGATTTGCTGACGTTTTTTAGTCATTGTTTGTGTATTTTTCATGTGAATTGTTTGCTGAAATCTGCCACATTTGGACAGCATGCAGAACGCACACATATATTTTATGCAATTATCCATCGCTTCAGTTTCATTCAAACGAAATTTGACGCACAAGGAGAGATGATAAAAAAAATTAAAATGGTGCAACAAAGACTGTCATAAATAATTATGATGATTAAATTATTCAATTTTTGTGTGTTCAGCTAGTTGAGCTGTCTTTTTGCATATTTGTGAATTCCTTTGTTGACGTGAAAAGCTTAATGGGAATGTTGTGATCTTCCTGCCACAACAACATCGTGATTTGTAAGCAAATTAGCTCTGAAAGTTGCATAAACGCTGTGTTGTGGTATTGAAAAAATTTTTGGGTGAAAAAGTCAGATTTTCATCAAGCTATCAAACCACATGCTCAGGGCAGCAAAATGCCAAACTTGATGGCATAAAACATGAATGAATTGCATCCCATGAGAGGCAATTTATTGATGGAATGAGTGTCGATTCGCTCTGGTGATTTTTGATGAAAAATCATTTTGATTAGATGAATTAATGTCGCGGTCCATGAAGTGGCAGCCACGACACGATACAGCCAAATTCCACGGCAAATGTTTAATTTATTGCATGTTGCCAAAGTATCACAGTTGATTCATTGATTCAATTTTTTCGGGTCATTTTCATGTGATGCCGAGGAGATGTGGCGTGCGGGAGAGGGTGGTTTATTTGTTTTCCATGGGTGGATTGGAGCTTTCAATCTCTGAGAGAGTGTCGTCTCATCTCAAAACATCATCAGTCATGGAGTGAGAAAAGTGAAACCCATGAGAGATGTATTGTAGATTGTCTTGGCGATTACGAATTGGATTTCTTTCGTGGGGGCTTTACATTGTCTGCACATTAGAGGGCACATCATGAGGAGTATTCTTATTTCTGATCCTCCACCTTTTTATCCATACGTTTTATAATTGACTTGTCATAAAAGTTATTTGCATTGCTAGGCAAAACTGACCAAACAAAGAGAATCAAATTAACGCGTGACTGACAATGAAGTCATGTGCAATTTTCTCTATTTGCCATTTTATTTAAATTTTATTAAAACATTTTTAGGTATGGAAAATTGGATTTCACACTGCCCTACATTAATCCAATCTCCGGCGCTGTTATGTGGCAGTTGATGGCATAGGCAGAGTGCTAAAGAATGCATTTTATTATTTTTGTTTGTTTCTCCAAAGGGGATAGAGTTGCTCATTTTAATATGATAAGTTTGCCTAGCGAATTCTATGCTAAGTTAATCCCTTCATTATGCTGCTAATCCTACGCAATTGGATTACACCCTGTCAATATGAGCCTCAATTGCAATTAAAGTGAGTAGATAAATAATAAATTGATTCTTGAAATGGATTTTTAATGTTACTTATAGAACCAGTGATTAATCATGTGATAAATCAGTGCGTCTCGACTTATTCTCTCCACAATGATCATTCGCAAGCGAGGTATTAATGAAGAGATACCACGAAGTAACAATGTGGAACCTCTTTGGCGCATCTAGGAAGGTCACAATCGGTACTTGTGCAAAAACCGATGACTCACGATGACATCAAACATCTATCTACTCCTGTAATCTCTTTACGCACTATTGCAATGTGGAATTGAGAGGATTTTCTTTGGACAACAGAACGATGTTACCGTCCAATTGGTGCGTTCTTTGCACCACAGCGACAAGTACCCACCATTGTACTATTATATGCCTGTAAACTGTCGCTTTTGTATCCATTTACATGATTCGCCACAACCACGGTCTCTCCACTCAAATGCCAATCTCATCTTCGTGGGGAGTGCAGAGTTTTCTGCCAGAGGAAAAAAAATACCACGTGAGAGTCTCTACGGGAGGGAGGAATCGTGTGGGACATTCTTTTCGTGCCTGGGCAGAAGAATCCCAGGCAATTCCAGATTGTGCACTTGATTGAAGTGTTGATATTGGGACAAACACATGTCAAGAGTGTGTCACAGCACATTTATTCCCTCATCCTCCCGTTGCGGCGGATGCTTGCTAGACCTGAAGAAGATGAACAAGCCGGCGGAATTTTTTAATTGCAAATCTCCAACACTTGGAAATTAATGAGGCTATCTCGCCGCACTGTGAAGGGTCAAGGCCTTCGGTGTGGCGAGAAACTTTAAATTGAGAAAATAGTTTTCGTTTTCATTTCAGTCACGACTCATCACAATTTGTGCCATTAATTATTCCCCGCACATAGATATTTGCTAAGATTAATTTATGGGCTTCCTTCTTCGCAACTCTTGAATACTTCTGGGAACTTTCCGTTTTGGTTGAGTTTATCAGGGAAATATTCCCTGGATTGCCAAGTCCACCGGAATGCATGCGAGAGCGCAAATAGACGATCAGCAAAGCTCACGGTCTGACAAATGGCAGACAATTTCCAAGTCATATTTATCTTTCGGAATTATCTCTCCGAACAGTAATCCACTTCATATATGACGCCGATGCAGTGCCAAAGGGCTATCAGGTGTGATAGCATGCAATGCACTACTCTAATGACTATTTTGGTTGTGGTTATTCTGGTCGGCAGCAGTTAATTATATACATACAGAGGTACCTATTTCAATTGGACATTTGCACTTGTATTTTACAACCGTTTAAACTGATTTTCATCATTCGAACACCGCAGGATTTTTGCGGTAGGGATTTTAAAATAAAACATACATTTGTGCATGCTAAAATAGTATGATTTATCGCGTGCATGAACAGTTTGCCAGTTGAAATTCAAATTCAAGACGTTTCTGAAGGTTTTCTAAATCTCAATAATCTCATAAACTACAGGTTAAATTGTCACTAAGTGCTGTGCTTTCAACATTTCTTTTGCTAATATGTAGTCGATAAAACATGCAAAATGGATACTATTTGGACAACGGATTTCTATACATATTCAATCACTGTTTTGCTAATTCAATTTCTCGATAAGTGTCGCGACATCTAAATTGAGCCATTTCACCAAATTCCCGCGGATGGGCAAGCAAGAATTGATGGAATATGCTAAAAAAAATGATTCAATAGTCTTCCTATCATTCACCTCTGCTCCACGCAAAGTGCTATTAATTTGCAAGTGGACAGCGAGAGAAAAGAGGCGCAGAAGAGACACTCGGATTACTCTATCGCCTAATCCAATTACCATGTTTAAAGAGAATGCGATAGCTAAGTAAAAGGAGCGATTTAGTGACTAATCACATTCAACAGAATATTTATGTAAATTTCAAAAGGAACATTTTAATGTGAAAATACCCGAGTGGAGATTATCCGCCTCGTGTTTTGTCATTGCGTCGAGATTATTTCTCATTCTCGGCTGCGGAGGCAAAAGACGCAAAATCCCCTCCCTTTAGCGCCAAACCATCGCGCGCCTTCTCTTGGGGTATTGAGAGCGCGAAAAAAAGATTGTCGCTGAAAAAAGAAACATCCATGGATTGACCGCAGAACCGTTACCAGCACCAAGAGAGTCGTTAAGTTGTCAAATTGAATACGAGAATGCTTTTAATAAATATCCATTTAATGCTGTGCTGGCCAACAAACAAACACCCAATGTAGGCAGCAAATCGGACGTCCCTGAACTCTCCCTTCGCGGTTTTATTTCTATCTATTGAGGCGTTGAGTGAAAAATAAAGACGCTGGAATAGATTTACGGTGCTGATGAAAAATGAGAGAGCTTTAAGCTCTATGTTTATCTACTCCGTGTCGCCCATTAAAAAGGGACTGCGATAGCACAATGGGACGACATTAATTTCTAACCATGATCGCACGCCTCGAACATCTTCACCCAGCGAGGAGTCCCACAGAGTGCAGAAGATGCTAAATTGGCGGCGTGGTGACTTGAAGCCCATCAGTTAAATGAATATCCTAAATACAGAAGCATGAAGCAGTTGAGTGCCGCTCCGCCCTCGAGGTAGGCGCACTTGCCACTCTTTTCACATGCAAATTCACCAGCCATGAAAATTTATAACTCACCCAGAATATGGACAAAAAGTGACTGACAAATGGGTCATTCTTCCCCATCTTGTGCTGCACTCAAATTTATTCGCAATTTGCATATTTATTTGCGTGTGTGACACAATATTCAATTTTAACCGATCTTATCATCACTTTCGACCATCCATCAATCACCAGAGCTCATGCATTTTCTTCGCACATTTGAATAACTTGTGCCAAAGCGCTTTTTAAAAAATGAATTACATCTCGCAAGGCGATTTATCAAGATTCTCAGAGCAATTGTTGCATGAGGATGAACGAGACTTTTGGTGGGATGATCGCCTTTCGGTGAGGATTAACAACACTTATGTCAACTTAGCATGTGGTGGGAGACTTTTGAAAAGGTCGATCATTAATCTCCTGTCAAATTGAGACAATGATAGGTGCAATGATCGCGAAAATAAGGCGAAATAATCTACATTTTTCGGATAAAAAAGACAGGTAGCTCGTTAAAAAAGAATCTATGGCAATTTATGGAAAATTACTGATCATCGCTATATACTACAACCCTAAATTGACTTGTTTATGACTTTATATCACTCAATCAAGTAACAGTCCTCGCGTGAAATGTCTCAATTAACACGCTAATTCAGCTGATAAAAGCCTCCGACTGAGGAGGTGTTGAGTGTGAAATTTGCAATAAAATTTAAGGCAATAAGTCAACGATCGCGCGCTCGAAATAGTGTGTGTGTGCGTCAACAAAACTATAAAATCTCCATCTTCGTTCACGGCACAACAAGTTCATCACATGACATTGGATTACACATCTTGTCCA